TTTATTATTTCAAGAAAGGTAAAAATGCAACTGGAATGCAAAAAACGATTTGTACAGTGTATAGAGAAGGTGCTGCGACTGATGAAATGTGTCAAAATTTGGTTTGCAAAGTTTTGTGCTGAAGATTTCTTCCCGGTTGATACTCCATGCTTTGTAGACCAGTTGAAATTGATAGCGATCAAACTGAGACATTAACTGAGAACAATCAATGTTATACCAGGTGGGAGATAGCTGACATAAAATATTCAAATGAAAAAAGTTATTGGTAAAAATGAAAAATGTGGTTTTTATTTTACGGAAAAAATTAAATGGACTTTCTGGCCAACCCAGTATATACTTTATCCTATCTTGATCAGACCAACACCATTTTTTTGGTCCTGCTCTCCACACTTGCAACCAGGAGAACAATGGACAGTGACAGCCTGACCCGGGCTTACTCCCTGATCCTGTCTCCAAGGCCCATCCTTTCTCTGACTTCTCAATGAGCTAACAGCAGCCCTGTCTTGGCTCACTTTGGTCACAGTGACTTTTAGTTCTCTGTGAGCCAAAGCAGCCCTGCCTAGGTTCTCTCCTGTTGCTTCTTCTACGTTAAGCCCTTTCTTTGTTTCATTGCCTCCACCTTTAATAAGCAGACTCTCAAAAATCACCTGGACACATGTGAAATCATCCCTGCATGTAGTCAAGAACCCACACACTACCGGCTGGCCCAAGGCAGAAGAGCTCCTGGCCAGATCCTGTCTGGTAACATTGGGAGCTAGGAACTCACCAGTGGTTGCTGTTCCCTGTTTCTGGCAGCTTGCCCTACAGGTTTTCGTTCTTTCATTCAATAAATATGTATTGAATACCTAGGAAGTGCCAGCTTCTAGGGTTACAAAATATAGGAAGAACTGCCTTCAAGGAGCAATTTCCTTAAAGAGGGGGTGGACACAGAACTCCATAGTAATGCAAAAGCATTTTAGGGTCTCAGTGAATTTGCAACTGGTAGGACAGACTGAAGCGTTTTGTATAGCTTGTGCTAAGAATGACTCACTCAAAGGTACATGGTAAGAATAGCATAATTTTTTCCTTTATTAACTCTGCATGGGGTGACAGCTTCTTTTGTTTATAAAAACAGATCTTTCCATTTGGCCAATGGTGAGAAGGCCTATCTGACCAACTGGCCTCTATTTGGTTCTCATTTAGCTGACTGTCACCACAGCCACAAACAGAGCTCATTCTGAAGAGGGGCGGAACTGCTCCTTTGAAGTTCTCGCCCAAGGAGAAACTTACATCCTTTCTTTGGTTCCCCTGAGAGTAGCTCAGATGATTGAAATTTTCAAAATGACTTACATTAAATACTCAAGGAGATGATGAAACACAAGTTTCATCCACCTTGCTTACAAGGCTCATAGTCTTTGTTTCATTTCCTGTCTACTCTGAGAACCTCCTTTCTTCATTCCTCCTCTTCTTGAGTTCCAAACAGACTTTCAGGAAGAAGGGGCAGGTGGTACTTTTGTGAGCTGACTGCCTCTCTCAAAACCACACTATAACTCTGTCCGTGAAACATAGAAAGTAACCTTTGAACGCAGAGCCTCATTTCTCGCCTTGCTACAAGTGGGGTCAAAGGTATTTCCTTACACTGATTCTCCTTTCTTCACATATTTCAAACTTTCACATTTCTGATTCAAGGCTATTCTTGGTGTTCATTTAAAACCAAATTTACCTGGATGTAACACAGAGGGCTAGGTGAGCATGAAGTTCAATTTTCTCTAGGTCAGTACCTTTCTAAGCTCCGCATACACAAAAGGAAAATGTTTTATAACAGTACTTTAAAGGTGTGATTATGAATGTAATTCCTAGAACAATCTTCTTAATGACTTGATTGATGCCAATCCCAATAAATGTGACCATAAGTGCTTAGTAAGTGATAATTATATGATAACAGCCTTTTTAGTTTCACTAACAAAAGGCAGCAGTAACTAAAATCAGTGTCTCCACATGCTGTGGGAGAAACCATGTTTTTGGTAACAGTGGTAACTGGCTCAATTCAAGTTATTATTCTGTGGCCAGTTATCACCTGCAGTTTTGGGGAGCCAGAAAGTACAGAGACCTGTAGAATCAGCAACTGTGGGCATTTTACAGAAACAGTAAGAACTCTTTTGTTGACTCAACAAATATTCATTAAATGCCTATTATTCCTACACTGGGCAGTCAATTCCAGGTGCTGGAGGGACAGAGAGAATACAGTCACTGGCAGGGTGGTGGTGAACAACATACTCGGAATACTCAGAAAGTCAGAATTATAGATAACGATACAGAACAATAACATGAGATTTCATAAGTAACCTAGTATCTAATTGTAAAATGTTTGGTACAAAAAGTTAAGGCTATAATGCAGTCTTTGTGGTCTTCAACAAGACCACAAAAATATACCATTTACATTTACCCCAAATAAAAAGTCTTAATGATACCCAGAGTTGCCATTATCTTACACAACCAAATATTTCCATAATCTGCCATTCAACAATCCATATATAAGCATATAACAAAGAGATACTCTTATACAATAGATGTACACAAGAGGCACAGAGCAGAAACTGGAAATAGAAGTTTGTGGTATACCTCCCTAAAGGAATATGATTCAGCAATGAAAATAAATGGGCTCCATCCGCATGTAACGGCATGGATGTATTGAGTGCAAATATTACATCTCATTAAATCATAGATATATATACTCTATATAATGTTTATAAACAAGTAAAATGGAATATATTCCATACGCATACCTACATATGTGATTAAACAATATAGAAGATTAAAAAACCCAACAAAACCAAGGGAATGCTAACCAACAAATTCAGTAGAGAGGCATGGGGACCACACTGGGGAAGAGCACACAGGAGGACAATGGATAATGTTCTAATCCTTGGATTGTGTGGTGAATTCTAGCTGCCCATCGTGCTCTTCAATTAATTTAAACAATGAGATTGTTATGTAAATCAAGAACCTGAAAGGTTCCTGAAGTCTTGCTGAGAATTTAATATTTAGCTGAAATGAAAATAGGAAGGATATGGTTTTGGTAATTAAGGTGTGTATAAGCTAAAGGGGACAATTTGACAAACTCAGATGATAATTTTGTGTGCTTCTCTATACATGCTCATATATGACATATAAATAAAGCCAAATGTCCTCATTTCATGTCCAAAGACAATATTGTAAGGCTGCATCCAGCGGGATAGCAGGAGGCAAAATCTTTTGTAGTTCTTTATTAAAAAATTTAAAATGTTTATTTATGGAGAATACTGGAGACATGCTTTAATGCTGCATAATGTTGCATAATGTTCTTGTCTCCTGTTATCTGAGCCTCTGATCTGGCTTCCAATTAATGCTTCACTCTCTCATTTATCACTTCTTACCTCAGGCAGCTCCTGCTGCTGCTTTGACCTGAAGATTCATCACTACCCCATCTCTCAATTTGAACAGTGCTGGCTAGGAACAGGTTTTAACATTAAACAAGGCTTCACTAATTGTTTGGGGATGAAGCATGAGGGAATTATAACATAAATTCCAGCTGCTTTCAGAGTCCACAAACCCCAGCCTCACCACAAGCCCACCTTATGGGTGCCTATCTTCCTAGCTTTCTGCTGGCCCCAGTGTAACAGGGATCAGTTTATTTCTTCTCAATGGCAGCATTCTTGAGTGAATGCCCCCTTCCTGGAAGCCTAGAGAGAATAAATTCTTTCCCCTTATTCCAGGAGAAGGTTCATCCTCTTAATCTCCTGCCCTAGGACCTGACCTCTTTATAGGAAGATTGAGAGTGATAGTATTCACTTACTGAGAGGAATATTTTACCTTTACTCACATTTGAGTGTTTTTATCCAATCTAAAACAATTTCAAAGACATAATACTATTATTAGACTGCAGTCCATTTGCCCAAATCTGGGTTACTTAGTTCTACATAACAAGCAAAGAACTATTTTTGGAGATGGTCAAGAACTTTTTCATTCCTTCTATAAAATTCTGCTACCCAATCCCTGCAAGCAATTAATTGCTCAAAGAGCAATATACACGGTTGGAAAACACAATTTAGAGACAAAAAGCATTCTAAGCTCACATTATTTCACCTTCAAACATACTCATATTTTCTCAGAGATTGACTGCAAAAAAAAACCCATACTATTTAGAGTACTAAAAGGACATGATTTATCACCTTGAATTCACTTTACCCAAGGTCTTTCTATTTGGTGAACAACTGGGGACCAGATGAATTCAAATTGCTCATTGGTCAGTCTCTGTCTGAAAAGGTAAACTTGCTTGTAACTTTTAAAATAGCACTCACTCATCTCCAAATTTCACGACTCCCACCCCAATGTAGGGCTCAGTCTGAGCCAGGGCACTTCTTACACAAATACGTGTATTCACAATAACTGCTTTAGATAAGAGAGGGAAAGACTATGTAATGCACAAACGCCTTTTCCAAAAAGGCTTCTGTAATCCTTAATCAGCCTTAATTTCCCAACCTTTATCCTTTACACATTCACAGGTTTGTCCTGTCTCATAAACGCTATTGGAAACTCCTTGCTCACAAACTGATTCATCCACATTCCCAGCACAGTACTTGGCAAAGCGTGGGCGCCCAAAAATGAATGAATGAGTTTGTACAATAGAGGCGGGAAAATGTTAGATTTTGCGAGATACGACGAGGATAACTACAATGGTCACAAAACAACAAAACGTAATCTTGGGCAAATGCCCATTTTCAACCGGCTCTCAAAAAGATTCCAGAACACCACACTCTTCGCCCCGCCCACGGGTGTTAGACGAGAATTACTGTACAAGCTGTCAACGAAACCGGAAGTGCTCGGTCAGGCCCCGCGCATGCGTACATCCATTCAGTTCGAACTTCCTATTCCCGGGGATCCAGTGAGAAAGCAGAGACTCGAGCTCACGCAGGCCCGAACCTCGGCAGTCCCTCGCCGCTGCCGCTGCGCAAGCGTTCTGGGTTGGCCTGCTGGCGGTGAGGCGGAGCGAAAGGACTTTTTTTTTTCCTTGCTCCCGCCCCTCTTCTTCCCCTACCTGCCACGTACTGGTCCTGAGCTCTCGCTAGGCTTGGTGGGTCCGTGCGATTGGCCGGGGCTCGCGCGAGCCTACGAGCGAGGTGCAGTAGTTACGGAGGGCCGCCGAGTGGGCCGTGACCGCAGCTGCCCCAGAGGCCCCAGAGGCCCCAGAGTCCCCAGAGTCCGGAGGCTCTGAGCCGGTCCAGTCAGCGGAGACCCGCGGAGAGGCGGCAGCGCGTCCGCGGCAAGCCGGTACGGCTGGTGGAGGCGGGGGCGCGGCCGGTCTTGAGGATTAGGCGAGCAGGAGACGAAGAAGCGCCGAGAGGGTCGCATTCGAACCCTTGGGCGCCGGGCGGGTGGGGCCGGAGGGGCTTTGAGTTGGGGCAGAAGGCCGAGAGGGGAGAGGCCGGGTGGGGCCTGGCGTGGGGGAGGGGAGGCCGCGGTGGTGGCCGGGGGGAGGGGTCCACGGTGGTTGGGAGGCGGGTCTCAAGGGTGTTTAGGCCAGCAAGTGCTGTCGCGATTTTTCTGTTTGGCTCTCGGGGTCGGACTGCCCGAAGGATAGGAGAGGTAATTTGGAAGGCCTGTGGTGGTAGGGCGCTTAACCGCCAGAGGGGCTTGAAGGGTGAGAAGGGTGGGAATAAGTTGATTGGGGTCTTGTAAGAGAAACCTGTTTTCTCGGCTATGTTAGCGCTTAGTCAAGCGCCGTTTGAAGACCCATTCCAGTTTAGTAGTGAGGATGATAGCTAACTTTTAAGAGTGTACTTTGATACGCACTGTACAAAGTATTTTAGATGCATGATCCAAATTTAGATATTCCCATTTTTGCAGATGATGAAAATGAGGCTTCCAGAAATACTTGGCGTAAGGTCAAATGGCTGGTAGGGGGAATATTTACCATCTTGCCACAGCCTCTGGTCAATCAGAATTGGAGGCTCCGTGGATTCTTTGGAATAATCAGGGTTGATTTTGCTTAGAATTTCTTAAGGAAAATTGCTACCCTCTGGACGGGCCTAACCACGCCCCTCTGAATTTGAGCAGGGCCCTTTCCAAAGGTTAGTGGAGTTGGAGGCTTGGCCACAGAACCTAGATCCCTGGTTCAAGAGGCATTCTTATGTGTCCTTGGGCATGTCACTTTATTCTCTAGTGCTGAAAACAGTGTTCCTGTTGGAAAGGTTGCGTAAGTTAGTGGCTGTGTCATTTCTGGACTTCAGAGGGAGTAGGACTAAGACAAGTAGAAGAAAATGCTGTAAGGATCTCACCAACAGTCCTGGCCAGTAGTAGTTCATACCAGTCTATATTGTGGCTGAAGTTAGAGAGAAAGAGGTGTTACTAAATTATACTGTCACATTTAAAAAAAAAAAAGAAAAGGTGGGGATAGGATTTCTCCTGGAAGGGAAAATTGTATAGTACCCTGAGTTTTGTGGTCTTTGTGTATGCCTAAGGAGATGACTGCACTAACGGGACAAACTTTGGAAAGAAGCCCTGGTACCTGGCCCTGGGGAGTTTACAGTCCATAGGAAACACCAAGGAATACGTGAATTTGCAGGCAAACATGGCAGATACAAAGTGGAGGAGACTAATGTTTTCAGATCCATTGGTGAGCAAGAATCCTCCACAATCAAAAGGACATGCATACTATCAATAATATCTGATGCTAGAAGTTCTTTTAATTAAGAGTATGTTTGTTTTCACTTCTAGTTATATAAAGAGGGTACATTGTGAAGATCTAATTTAGGAGCTGACCTGATGATACAGCTTTCTTCTCCCAATTACTTTATCAAAACTTAATATTATTTCTCATCAATTTTTTTGTTCAGGGAACCAAAAACAAGTCCATATCTACTATATGTCAGGTTCTATTCTAGGTGCTGCTGAGAGTAGATAGTACCATCTTGCTGAAGTTAAGCGCTGATCCTTAACTACATTATTATGGATTTCCATGACCTGTAGGTAGTAGAAAATAACATTGTTTTTCTGAAGTTCTTTATTACTCTTAGGCCACAGGGCAAACAAATCTTAACCATCTTGTTGAAGTAATCATACTTCAGAGCTTGTCACATAATGTGTATTCCAGCAAATTTTTCCTGAATGAAGAGGTCAGGTTTGGCTAACAGGTGAAGAGGTTGTAGAGATTTCAGTTAATCATGAGAAGTCCATTGCAAGAGTTTGCAAATAAAGAACTAGCTGGATTCTTATTTTACATTATGATAAACACAGCATCCAGATCATGGAACACAATCCACTCTTGTTATGAATGGACCTTAAGAGTGTTTGATTCAGTATTTAATGTCTCATTTTAAGATGGGGCATTAAAGATTTGTTAATAAAATATAACCTGTTCAAAGGATGGTGAGACATTCATTTAAGGAACAGTTGCAAGGGCATGGGGCATTTATATAATATTCATTAAATGAATTAGGATTCATGAATACTTCAAGTATTTTAAGGGTTGAGATGTGTTGGGCAGGTGGGGTGCTTTCTACACACACACACATACACACACACGCACACAAACACACAAAATTGTAGAGAACTATGGGAAATCAAGTATGATGTTAATGATATAACAGATTTAAGAGGAGAAAACAGAAAGCTGCCAATAGTAAAGTATGAGATTGAAACCAGAGCATAGCCAATAGGACATTATAGAATACTTTAAACATTCTGAGAGATCATTTGCTTGGGGCAGGAAGAGGAAGGAATTGATGCTAGGGAAATGTTTAGTGGTTGTAGGTAATGTATTCAAGAATATCTTGGTCTTGAAAAGAAGAGACAGGCCTGGTATGTTGGGATTAGATAAAAGTGGTCAAAGGTAAAAAACAGGCAGACCAGTTTGCAATAATCCAGGCAAAAGTCTTTTGCAATAATCCAGGCAAAAGATGAGAGAGGTTTGGATCAAGCTGTTTAGAAGTGAAAACAGTAAAGTGATTAGATTCTAGAGATATTCTGAAGGTAGTGGCAACTAGGTTTTAAATTTGTTAGCAATTTGGTGAGTGTAAGTTGTAAGGAAAAGAGACGAATATGTGTATATCTTGAACAATTGGAGGGAAGGAATTGTCACTGACTGGAATGGTGAAGTTTTAGACTCGTTAAAATAGGAATCTAAGTGATAATGTCAGATAAGCAGTTAAAATGTGGGTGAAATGGTACTAGACATAAAACAATGAAACTTATTTTCTTATGCACATAATAAAATAAAGTTACATTCAGACCGTTTTAACATGAATATAGTAACATTGGAAGAGTGAATCTCTCTTGGTCAGAATTTCTTAGATTCTAATAATAGCTTTGCTTGTCAACTTTTAAGGTATGTTTTATAGCTGTTCAATTATCAAAACAATCTTATCAGTCTTTTTCTAGAGTTGTATATATCTAACATCCTGGAGTCCACCATGAATGGACAGTTGGACCTAAGTGGGAAGCTAATCATCAAAGCTCAACTTGGGGAAGATATTCGACGAATTCCCATTCATAATGAAGATATTACTTATGATGAATTAGTGCTAATGATGCAACGAGTTTTCAGAGGAAAACTTCTGAGTAATGATGAAGTTACAATAAAGTATAAAGATGAAGGTAAGAATGTTTCTAAAGTTAGTTTTTCAGAATGTAAATGTAATATATATTCTTTTGCTAATATTTCATTGAACTGTCTCAAAAAAGTTCCCTTTCATGGTAATTTGAGTGCCCACTTCTTTTACAATTTTTAATAGGATGTTTGTGTAGTTATTTTATAAGTTAAAAATAGCTAAAGGATATATTATTAGAAGGGGTTTTAAGAGATAGAACATTGTCACATATATTTTACAAGCATTTTTTCTCCCCTGTCTGTGGAATTCTGACTTTCTTTTTGCTTTCAAAACCAAACTTTTAATTATATTTCCTGAAGTGAAAGGGAAATCAGTAGGTATTGAATGAAAAAGGATTGCATGGTCAACTAAATATGGAAAAGCTTGTTTAAACAAAGACAGATGTGTTTCTTTATTGCAGGAATTTATGCTGATGTATACTGTCAGTTCATAACATGCAGTATTCTCAGACTCATTTGACCACAAAACTCTCTTTATGGATATGGGTTTTAACATAAATGTTTCACCAAACACAGTAGAATTGTAGTAGTAGACTACCTTTATTTCCTCTCCTTTAAACCTGTTCTCTTTGTTAACATCTCTACTGAAATTGTACTTTAGGTGGATACCAGTATCTTTTTCACTGCTGAATTTATTTCCAGTCTGTTTCACTTTGATTTCAGTACTCAGCATTGCTATCCATACCATCCTGTGCTAAATACTGTTACTCCTTAACATCTCTGACACTGTGCTGTCCCCATTTTCCTCTTCTCATTAATAGCTTCTTCTCTGTGTTTGTTGGTTTAAAGTAATGACAGCTGTTACAATAGAAGTTTTAAAATCTCAGTGGTTAACACTCAGGAAATCATTCAGAGACCCAGGTTGACAGCAGTTCTGTCTTCAGCACAGGCTTACAAGCTCACCTTTAGCAGTGGCATCTGGTAGGAAAATGGATTAAGGTAGACTGTAGAGGAACACATGGGCACTTGTACTCTGTGGGCCTTGAGGTGATGCATTTATAGCATTTCTGCTGACATCTCATCATCCAGTCCAGCGTGTCAGTGGGTTGAGAAATGTCTCTGGTTGGATAGCCGCTTTCTGATAACTCGCTCCGTGGAAGGTAAGTGTAAATCACTGATGAACAGCTAAACTGCAGGTGTAATTTTTCTTTATTTTTTATAATATATGCTCTAATGTTACTCAGAACTAATTTTTGAGGGTCACCCATGATCAGGAACAATAAAGGAAAACAATTTTCTTCCTGTTCTTTTCCCTAGTAATCTCATCTACCTACAATACACTGACTTTCACCTCTTTGACTTCCAAATATGGGTGTTATCAATTTAAATACCCTTTTTTGACTTTACAACTCAAATTTTACAGTTTTCACTTTACTTGAGATGCTTTGCTTTTACCTCAAACTTGGCATATCTTGAACTGTTTATCTGGCTTTCTCTTAGTTCCCTTATTTTTGTTCAGGTCAGAGTCAGCAAGCTTTTTCTTGAAAGGATCAGAAAAATATTTTAGCTTCGTGGGTCAGTCACATAAGCCCTCTGTCTCATCATCCGTTTTTGTTTTTTTTTTTTAAAAACCTTTTAAAAGTGTAGAACCATTTTTTAGTTTGCAGTCTGTAAACATAGGGATTTGTCCATTGGTTGCAGTTTGTGGACCCCTAGAACTTAGGGTGTCCTGATTATTGAAATTTTGTCCTCTTCATCTAGTTTCCACATAAATTTGTTTTTCATGGTATTTTTAAGTGTTTTGAATTGTACAGATTTGTGTTTATAACCTGTGTTCCGCTGGCTTAGGTAAACTTCTAATCATCAGAGATATTCTGTTTTTGTTGTGGAATTCAGAAAAGAAAAAGAGTAGTTACAGAAAGTTTCCTTCTTTTACATATATAGTATATTTTCTTTAAAATGTGTTTATGAGTAGAATCCCTGAAGTTGAACATTAGATGTGTTTGTTCCAAGAAATGGGTCGGGTTATAAAGAACTAAAAACAATTATAAAATTCTTTGTTATGGCTTTTATTGCCAAATCTGCCCAGTCAGTGTTAAAGTTGATGTAGCAGAGCAGGCTCTCAGCCTTGTGAGGACAGAACTCCCTACCCAGCCTGACTGGGTCTCTGAGATGCCCTTGGCCTGGTCCTGCCTGTGGCCGCGTTTCTGTCTTTGCTCTCTCTAGAGAACATTTATTTTCCCCTAGGCCTTTGAAAGTTTTGAAACAAGCAATTGATATGCTAATTATTGTATTCTTTATCCTTGGGATCTAGGGGATTTCAGAATCTGATGTATATGAATTTTTGGGGGGATGAGTTGATAATTTTCATCTTTAAATGATTAGTGACCTGAAAGACTTTAGTGTCTACTCATTCATTAGGGCAAGTCTGCAGACTTTTATTTTTTTGCAACACTAACTGTTATATTCAATATATGGCTTCCCTGCCACTTGTATCAATGGCATTTTACTGTACTTAGAATTAAAATTTGAATCTCGAGAGTCTTTATTATTTTAACTTTTGATAAATATATTTAAATTTTTGGGAATGGAAAGATATTAGCCTTTCCAGAACATTTAAAACCAGTGATTTGTGATATTGCTACCATGTATCTCCTGGTGACTGGTAAAAGATGACAGTGCATTAGTGTTAGCTATGTTTTGGCTCTTCTTAATGATAAATACCTTGTCATAAAAGTAATAAGCAAAGTTGACTTAATATTTTTTTGAAGAAATACATCCTTCCTAGATCCTTTACTGGTTGTCTAAGGTTTTTATGGGAGATTCTAATTATGCTATGCAATCTGGATTTTGGATTTTAATTTAATGTATATCCTAATTTACTACTGATGCAAATCTGAAACTTTTCTGTTTTTTTTTTTTTTTGTCCAGATGGAGATCTTATAACAATTTTTGATAGTTCTGACCTTTCCTTTGCAATTCAGTGTAGTAGAATACTGAAACTGACATTATTTGGTAAGTGGTAACCTTGCTAATAAATTTACTATTTTATTCATTGTTACTTTTATTAAAGACTTTCTAGCTTTTTTCCTGTTAAAGGTTCAGAATTAAATGACGTGTTTTCAGCTGTATCAGAATTTTTGAATTTAGCCTTAATTATATATGTAGTTATATATAATTATAATCATATATAGAAATTACATATATATAATTATAACCATATAGAAAATAGTCATATTTAAAATTACTTACCTGCTTGCTTACCCTAAATAGTAACCTGTGGGGTGCAGGCCACATCTGCCCTCTGTTACTTGCTTCATGGTTGCTGCCTGTTTCTCATGGCAGGCCCTGCTGCTAGATGCCTCTTCACTCTGTGCAGAAAAAGCAGGGAGCTAGGTGGGAGCTTACCTGAGAATCCAGCATCTCCTTATTGCTGTACCTCTTCAGCTTTTCATTGAATTGGTGGAGAGTGTTCCCTGCCTTCTGACAATGTGGAACTTGAACTCTGTGACTCTGGAAATGTTGAACTTGAACCTGAACCCTGAGGTTTTAGAAAGTAATGGTTAAAGAATCCCCTACTCCTTTGGGTTCCCGAAAGGTTTACAGCAAGGAACCACTTTCCCCATGTCATTTAGATATGACTCATGGATGCCTCCTTGTTTATGACAGGGTCAGACACAGACCCTTCAAAATCCCATTATATTTGCCTGTTATTTGATTTGCTGAGCTGATTGTACTCATTGACCAATGTGGACAAAATACCAGCTACTTTGACTTGACCAAACTTTCGTTAGTCTTCTCTCCATCCTCCAGGCCCCTAAATTTTGACCTACCCTCAACCTGGGCCAAGATACAGCCCCTTCTTATCTACCACTCCTGAAAATAGGCTGACTTGGGTGTAAAACATTCTCTGATTCGCAGTGTGATCACTGTCCCCTCCACACATTCATCCCACGTCCCCACAGCCAGTTTTCTAGCCTTTGTTCCCTGCTCTCAGTATAAGAAATGCCCAGCTGATCTTGGAAACAGTTGCAGGTAACTGTGGTCAGAGAGTTCCATTATGGCAGTAGTCACCCCCTCACCCCACTCGCACCATTGCGGTAGTCCTTTTATTCTTGGAATAATCTCTTACAATAAAATCTCTCTATGCCTTTAAAAAAAAAGTAATCTGTGCCACTTATATCAGTGTTTCCAGGATTGAAAATAATTCTAGTGTCAACCTTTACCTTTTTTTCTCAAAGAATATATAATTATTTTCTATAATGTAGTATGTTTTTATTTATTCTCAGGGCTTAACATATAGGCCTAATACTTCACACATTATTTTTTAAGTAGTACTAAAAATCAGAGGTAATTCTGATAAGAAACCAAATATAGGACTGCTTTTAATACTTTAGATTTTGTTTTCTTATAGATTGTAACATATTTGCAAGGCAGAACTCTTAAGGGACAGTAGAAATTATTACAGAGTTAAAAGTGATAATATGATTATGTAAACAATAAAATGTTGGCCATTTTTCCTAAATTTTTTGTTCTGTTCAGATTTAAAAGAAATTATGTGGCACTGAGCCCTATAGTTCCATGAAATACCACTATGATGAGTTGATTTAATTTGTATTTATTTTATTTCCATCTCAGAAGGGTGAATATGAATAAGACTTTAAAATGCTAGTAACAAAAACTATTTAGAACATTTTTAAGTGAAAGATTTTTTTTAAAGAATAATGAACCTAAATTACTTAACCACTCTCGGCCAGCTTCCAGCATATTAAATAAACTGAAAGCTGTCTTTCCAGAAACATAGAGGTATGGTCGGTAAATATTACAAATATGTTTTTTGAGTTATGTACCTGAGCTTAAGAAAGTAAAGGAGAAGTCCAGGGAATCAAAACAGATGGAATTAAAAAAGAAGGGCCTGAAGTACCAAAAGGTCAGACTTGGGGTACTTTTGGTGATGATAATGAAGATTTTAGTCTGCATAATCTGAGGGTTTGGCATTTGGTGCCTGTGTGTATAGGCCTTGGGTATTATACCCTCAGTGGGCTATACTCTCAAAAAGAATATTACAGAAGAAAAATATCTCTTTATTGATAACAGGAAAAGTCAAGGAAATGATACAGGAACTCATGTCCTGGCTGTCAGGGGTTCTTGCAGGCTCCCTTAAAGATTCATAACCATGTCCTTTGGTGGGTTGGGTTTAAATTTAAAATATCTGCCCAGTTTGGGAACGCTGAAGTCCAGATATTACCATAAAGCAACAGCGAGAAACAGCTGCAACAGTCTCTCTGGAATGGTATGTTCTTAATCCACTAAGCACGTAGGTTTTTCAGAGACAAAATCCTGTTGGTGAACTTAAGAGTTTAGAACTGGTAAGACACATGAAACAATCCATGTGAGGAAGAAACTGGATGCAATTAGTAAGATTAGACTTCTGAAAACTTTAATTAATAGAAGTGGTATCTATAAAATGTGTTAAAGCTATTAAGACATATAAGAAGAAATACGAATATAAGAACAAGGCACTATGAAAAAAGAATAAATTTTAAATAGAACTCAAGTTCCTATTTCCATTAAGACTAAAGAGATAATGGAACAGTGGAAATATAAAGGAAGTAATAGCTAAAGAATTTTTTAGAATTATATAAAATATATAAACCTTCTGATTTAGAAGGCACAGTGACTCTTGAGCAGGATATGTAAAAATAAATATCCATTGGACATTTGTCATGAAACTGAAAATATATAAGACAAAGAGATAATCTTAAAAGTAACCTAAGACAGTAAGACTGATCACCTACAAAGCAATTATACTGTTAGACTTCTTAGTAATAACAGGTGCTATAAGAAAGTAAAATAACTTCTTCAAACTGTTCAGAAACATAATAAATAGAAAAGTAGCATTCTATAGTTTGTTAAACTTCAGGAATAAGGGGAAATAATATTTTCAAAGACTGAAAACTTACAGCTCATAGACTCTTGTTAAAAGAATTTTTAGCTATGGTTTCAGAAAGGGAATTGAATCTAAAAGAATGGAGAAAGATGCAAGAAATTGTAATCAGATAAACTGGTTAACATTTGTAAATTTAATCACTGATTATAAAAATCACAGTTTTATGAATAAAAACAAGGTGGAACAAAAATACCTTGCGGGAATCATATGTAAGACAGGAGGGGATGATAGGAATTAAAATATTTTAACGAGTTGTATTGCTTGGGAAAAGGAGAGTAATTAACTTCAGATTTTTCTAAATTGAAGTATGCTTGTCTAAAATGTAAGAGTGATTATTTTAAGACTACAACTAGCCAATAGAGGGAGAAGAAACAAAAGATACTTGGTTCACTAGATAGTGAGGAAAGAGGAAAAGAGACATACAGAAAGTTTAATCAATAGAACAAAAATACTAATCACAATATACATGAACAGACTAAATGTACAAGTTAAAAGGTAGAACCACTTACTGGAATTAAAAATGCTGATTATAAGAGGCAGAGTGAAAGATTATGCACAGTTTGAAAGTAAAAAGCGAGAAACATATACTAAACAAACTCAAAGATAGTTGGTAAAATTAACAATAGACTCTAGGTGAAAACTTCATTAGTAATAATCACTTAACAATGATAAAAAGAACAAGTCATTGGAAATATATAATAGTTCTGAACACTCACACATCATAGTCCTCATTTTTTTCCTAAGGAAAAAATGACAGAAAAGGGAAAACAAATTCACAATCATGGGAAGGCTTTTAATATTCTTCTCTGATAGATTAGGTAGGCCCAAAATTAGTAAAGATAGAGAAAATTTGAACAAAACAGATACAAAGTTGATCTTGTATATCTGTCAGGAAGGGATACAGATTTTTTTAGTATATATGGATATTAAAGTTGACCGTATACTGGATTTTTCAACAGATCTAATAAAATGTCAGAGCTGTGCTAGAGATCATATTCTCTGGCCTCATTAGAAACCACTGGACAAAAAGATAACCCTATTTCCATACTTTTAAAGATAAAAATACGCTTTTAAAGTAAGAGAAGAAATCATAGGAATTAGAAATAAGTGATGACATCTACATAACAAGTCTATAGAGTATGCTGAAGCTAACTTGAAGGGATCTTTATAGCCTTAAAAACAAAAGGGCAAAGTAAGCCCAAATAACTTGGAAGAAAATAGTAAAGATCAGAAATGACCTAGAAGTCAGGGTATTGATAGCATCAACACTTTTGAAAAGATAAAATTAGCAAATCTCTATTAAGATTAGTAAAGGAAAAAGAAGGCAAAAATAAGCAATATTAGAGATTAAAAAGGCATAACTATAAAATACAGCAGAACTTTAAAAAATATATTATGACTACTATGAATAACTTTCAATTTGGAAACTCAGATGACTTAGACAATTTCTTAGGTGAATTTAATATATAAGTGTTTCAAAAGTAGTACATTTGATTGTTGCAGTTAACATTGAAATCAAACCAATTATTCTACCTAATATTTAAGCAACAGTTGATCCCAAATTATACAAATTATTCTAGAGAAGAGACAAAAGGGGAATATGCAGTCTCATTTTATGAGGTTAATATAACTTTGATATGAAAAACACCTAAGGAAAATGCAAACTAGTCTCACATAAATATAGATACAAAGTACTAAATGATAATAAATTCAGCAGTGAATATTTAAATATATCATTGCCAAGACTGTTCATCATAGGAGAGTACAAGATTGGTTTAAGTAAGAAAATCTCTTAATACCACTTCCCATGTAACAGGTTAAAGGGAAAAACTGAACCATCTTGTCTGAAAGAAAGCATTTCTACCTCCATCATTCAAAAAGTTACAGCAAAATAGAAATACAAGGGAAGTCTTTAACCTTATGTTGGGCAACTATCACAAAGAACAATTGCTATATACCCTAATATGAAAGGATCATAAAGTATAACTGAAATACTAATTATAACAGAAAGATAACTCTAATGATTGTTATAGAAAAAATATAAAATTTTAACTTAAAACATGAAGCAGGGGAGAAAGTTTTAGGGACAGGAAGGGAGATTTAATTACTGCTGTATTGTTTTATTAATGATGAGGAGCAAAGATGGGAGCATGTTAAGATTAATAAGTATATGTATTTAATGTGTTTATCTTTTTATGTGCTTGAAATAAGTTATTAAAGTCATAAAATTATACTCACGCTAATAAAAATAATGTAGTTGTGGAATAAGAAATTTAAACGTTTAATTGGGTATTATATAACACATGGTGTTCCGAAAACTACTGAGCAGATGACTTTAGATCATAGGCCATATTAGGGATATACAAGGTCTGTCCAGAAAAAGTCCAGTCATTGTAAATATAATGGAAACTGTTTGGGTGACATTGATGTAACCTGGCAGCCAAGGAGAGTGGAGTGGAACGTACATATGTGAATAATGAGGACTTCACTGTATTAGTAGGAGTGGTAGACCTCATTGAATGAGCATGAGTACTGTGTGACTGTCCCATTCAAAATGACTGAGCAAGTAGAGCGTCGAATTTGCATCAAATTTGCGTTAAGCTTGAACATTTCTCTGTGGAAACTATTCAGATGATTCAGAAGGCTGCAGCCATGGGCAACTGGTGATTGGCAGTTTCATTATGACAGCGTACCTGCTAATGTATCACATTTGTGCATAGTTTTTTGGTGAAACATCAAATTATCCAGCTGACTCAGGCGTCCCTACAGCCCGGATTTGGCACCGTGCTACTGCTGGCTTTTCTCAGAACTTACAGGGGGTGGGAATCGAGGTGAGGGGGTGGAGAGACTGAGCAAAAAGAAAAAGGACTCATGGACATGGACAACAGTGTGGTGAGTGCTGAGGGGAGGGGACTAAATGGTAATAGTTAATAGGCTGTCACTCAGTCCGCTGAACCACACCAGCCAGGGCAGTAATGGAAAAAGATACGTAAAGATTAAATTAAAAAATAATGAAATGAGCATAGGAGAGTCAACCAAAAAAAAAAAAAGTAAAATCACTTCTGAAAGGGAAGGGATTTCAGACCATTGATGAGATTAGGAAAATACAATGGGGCAGCTGATAGCAATTGGGAAAACTGTGTGAGGACCCAAGGTACCCACTTTGAATAGGACTGAGGTGTCATTGCCCTGTGTACATTTTTTCTTGTGTCTGGTATCTTCAATAAATGTCTCTTATTTTGCATATTAAATAGCTTGATACCTGTGGACAGACCTCGTATATGCTGGGTTCTTAAAAGTTCTGGTAAGATAGATAAATGTGCTTCAGCCAGAGATCACCGGTACCATAGCCATAGTTGAACAAAGGGTGTATTTTGCATTAATTTTATATGTATAGTCTTAAATTTCAAAAGGACAAAGTAAGCCCAAATAACTTAGAAAGAAGAAAATAGTAAAGAATAGAGATGAACTAAAGTCAGGGAATTGACTTAGCAAACCTCTATTAAGATAAGGAAAAAAAGCACAAATAATCAATGTTAGAAATGAAAAGGGGCATAACTACAAATACTTTGCAGTGAAGGAGAATGAACGCCATGGAAAACAATGGGCTGTCTCAGTAAAAGTGTGTTAGGATTTTACACAGGTCTTGGGCTTGTATTAGGTGAGGTTCAAGGAAGTGGGGCTTTGCTCTAGATTGGATGCTATAAGGAAGTGGTCGGGGCAGTCCTGTGATTGGACATTTTACTAAATCTTAACCAGAAGGGTGGAGGAATGAATTGAGGCTACAGTTAAAATTGTTAAAATAGCAGCAGTCACTCAGATTAGCCAGGGATGTTTGGTCATTTTTGTGGTTTGGTCAGTGTTCTTGTTTTTGTCTGAGTTTTCACATGATTTATGGAGTAACTTTGTTTTTGTCTTAATCACGGTAACAGAGTGATCTATTCTGATTGTTGGTGTTCTTTGAAATTGTTCATTTTCAGCAAGAAAATACCACAGCCTACCTGGGAGTGCCAGGCCAACCTCTAGCAACACTTAAGGCCTGTCTTAATTACAGTACCAGGCCAGTTCCTGGCTGCTTTTCCCTTTTTCAGATAATAGAAAAAAACAAGTAATACACAGTAAAAGCCAATAATTAATTGATATAGGTAGGAGATGATTTTGAATTTCCTCATAACTATTTAGGGTATGTGTAAAATACTGGTGGGTTGTGTTCTAAAAGCTTATATTAGTGGTTTGATGTTTGAAATATATTTAACAGATTCTCCCTGAACTTTTTATTTTCAAATAAATTTCCTTTTCTAATAATATACCATAGGAATTTGTATATATGTGTACTGGCAATGCATAAAAGCATTTTAGTGTAATTTTTGGAATCCTATCTTGAGGTTTACATTCAGAGCCTTGTGCCACCTTTTTTTTTTTTTTCAATAACCTCAGTGGTGACAGTCTCTGTGGTTGGTGGAAGGATCCTTTTTTTTTTTTTAAGTCAGCTGCAAGTTATTTGGAGAAAATGGGTAATTAAATGAAGTAACATTGCCTTCCTTAAAAAAAAAGCAATGATTATTGAATAATCTTGATTTTTTTGTTGCTTACATACTGTTTTTGGAAGTACAGCTGGCTTGAACAATGCCATGATTAGCGGCATTAAACCTCCATGCAATCAAAAATCTGGCATATAACTTTTGACTCCCCAGAACTTTTATTAATAGCCTACTGTTGACTAGAAGCCTCACAATTAACACAAATGGGTGATTAACAGGTTTTGTATATTATACATATTATATAATGTATTCTTAAAGTAATGTAGAAAAAGAAAATGTTAAGGAAATCATAAAGAGAAAAAATATATTGTATTTATTAGAAAAAATCAATATATAACTGACCTATGTATTTCAGACTTGTGTTGTTCAAGGGTCCATTGTCACTACATTTAAGGTCAGTGGTGGTATGGATTCATGAATTCTGCATATTTTTGTTTTATTTATTTTGCACAATTATCATTTTTATTCAACTTTATCTTGAAGTACTAGAAAATGTCATATGATAAGTAAAAGCACCAAGAGACTTCAGTATTTCAAAGACAAAAGAGTAATTGGTTACAAATGATATGGTTATCTTTCTAACATTCCAAGAGTTATCTGAAAACAATTATTTTTTTATCTTAATATTTTTTTTTTCATTTTTTTATTGTTCAAGTACAGTTGTCTCCATTTTCCTGCCACCACTTTCCCCTGCCCCACCCACCCCCACCTCCCACCCTCAGTCCTTCTCCTGCATATTTTTGTTTTAATAGGTTACTTTTTATGTCAGTTATATTAGGTAGCTTTTTCTTTCTTTTTTTTTTTTTTTTTTTAAGGTCAAAAGTAGGCAAGAGGGATAACAGACCTGTTATGTACTTTTTAAAATTTATGTATACAATATGGGTTTATTATTTCAAGAATATAATAGAATAAGGTGAAATAGAATGAGCTTTTGAAAGATACGTAATTCCTATTAAATTATATTAAAGTTTTGTATAGATTTTAATTTATTTAACTGTAGTCGAATTCTTCTAATAAACCTTTTAAACAGTATGGTCTGAGCCATAAATCTGGCAGCAGCAAAGACTGATGAGTATTTATTTTTTCCAAAAAGTAAATTATCAGCAACAAAGAATTCTTTCCTTCAAGTTACTGTTTAAATGACATGTATAGGTATCTTGCTTGATTTTTTTTCACTTTTTAAAGAAACAATATTTATATTATTGCATATTATTTTATTGATACTTATTCAAAAGCATTTCCTAATTTTAAGCAAATTCTTTTATTCCAGTTAATGGCCAACCAAGACCGCTTGAATCAAGTCAGGTGAAGTATCTCCGTCGAGAACTCATAGAACTTCGAAATAAAGTGAATCGCTTATTGGATAGTTTGGAACCACCTGGAGAACCGGGACCTTCCACCAATATTCCTGAAAATGGTAGACTGTGAATCCATGTTTTTCTGATTTATTCTTAGTTTTTTTTTTTAAACTCTTCAGTAGGAAGAGGATGGCACTCTCATTGTCATACCTTCTTGTTCTTGGCTCTTTGTGCTAACATTCCAATGTGTAATCCCAAACCTGGAGGTTCATCAGGGTTCCCTGGAGATTTTATTATACCAGTTCCGAGATCTTATCATAGGCCTCCTGGAGGGCAGGGCCCAGGAATGACATTTTTAAATGCTTCATGGGTGATTGTTTTACAATTAGCCTTAGATTCCTATTTTTGTGACATAGGTAATTAATGAACCTTAGGAATTGAAATCATTTCATTTCAGGTGGTATGTGAAGTAGTTTCAAGAAAAAAATAGTTCTAAGTTGGTATATTCAAATGATGTATTGTAAAGATTATCTTAAACACAATTTTTCATAATTATAATATGCAAAGAAAAATGTATTTTTTTCCATTTTACAGATGACATGTACTATTTATATTAAGATGAAGCAAGATTTATCAGTAAATTTTGAACTGACATAATTTTGGGACCAAATACATTTAAAAAATAAAGTGAAATTAAATATGTATTATGAATTAAAAATATATTCTTAAATCTGCTTTCCTCAACCTCTGATATTTTTAGATGCTGCACTTAAAAAATAAAGTTTTTGGAAAAAATTTTTGTGTTTGCTTGTAAGTTTTAAATGCTTAAAACTGTTACTGAGTCTGGATATTTGCTTAATAGAAAATGATTTTGTGGAGAAGTGGCATTGTGTAATCCCTTGCAACATTTAGGTTCTGAGATAGTTATTTGACCGCATTTAAAATTTGGAGTTTAGTTTCCTTTCTTTAGTTATAGTTTAAATAAAGATGCATTTTTCATAGCTTCCCTTTTCTTCTCTTTCTCCAGCCACATGGAACTGTGTTACTGGTGGTGCTCAATAAGTATTTGGTGATTCATTAGTAATTCCTAGTTCTCCCTCTATAATTCGGAACATACTGGAGATTTGCTGAAATACTATAATGAGATTTTTCTGGCCTCTATGATTTTTATATTTCAGGTCAAAGCAAATTGCCTTTTTTGACCCTTGTCTCTCCAAACAGAAAGTTCCAAATTAGGTCAAGGATCTGAACCTTGTCCTAATTTTCCCAGAAGAATTCATAGATACTGACACATAGATGCTGAAACATTTGCATATAATTTCATGGGGTGTAAACATCTGTAGAATAATTTGAAACTTAGATAAAAATTCACAAGTACAGTCAGTACTATGCAGAAATGACCGACAGTAGCCTATATTCTGTTCAAAGGAATAGAATTATAAGTATTTTTGGTTTTGGTGAAGTATCCTTTTTGTTCTCACTTATTTCTTGCCATTATATTGACTGCTTTTCTTTATGAGTTTTTTATTTCCATGTTTTCATGTTTGCTTCTTACCTATGTGCTGTATTAGTGGTGGTTGTAATTTATTTTTTGCTCCCTCTCTTGTATTTAGTAAGATCACTTACCTCTTGACCGTCTGCCTTGTATGAAATTCCTAAGCTTGTAAGCTCTTAAAACATATCCTGATTTAATAATCTTCCTAGGGAAAATGGCATAAAATAAGCCAAAGAAGCTACATCAGAAATTGAAAGTCTGGATCTCAAAACTGTCGGTCATCTGTCATCCTTTTTAGAATCATGTGGCTTGCTCTAAACCAGAAATGTGCAGCTACCTATGTTTTTCAGTGCTCTACCTCTATAGTGGTTCTTGGATGCTTCTTTCCTCTGTGAGAAAGATAATGTGTAGGCTACCTTAGATACTGGATTGACCTGTTGCAGTAGCTCTAGCAGTTAATGGAGCAACTAGTAGGTGGGTGGACATATATTGTCTTTTCTGATGGATTTAGTTTGCAGTTAGTGGAAGGATACATAGGTAGTGGAAGATAGTGTGAGGGTGAATAATTTATAAGATTAATGTGATATGCTCTTGGGGTGTAGCTTTGGAATTAGAAAAAGGAATATTGGTGAGGAAGATGGATAACTGGTGGTCTTATTTTAAAGGAGTATTTATAGGAGTTTTCTTCTAGAAATTTAGGAAATATTAGTGTAACCAGTGGAATGGTAGGAATAAACGAGCTGCAAGCCCATGATGAGTATATTCCCCTTAGTACTTACTGTTTTTTGCACAGAGTAAATTTTTCCTTGATTAAAGAGGTGATTTAATAACTGATGTTCATATACTTGCTTGGGAACAGAAAAAAGTAATTATCTGTTAATTGAGTAAGTGGTTAGCAATATTCTTTTTACCTGTATATTTTGTTTTTGGTCTTTTTTTTTCTTGGCCTCATGTTTCTATTTGTAAAATGCAGGTTATTCCTGAAACCCTTTTCTTTTACTAAGTAGTAGTATAAATGCCTATTGATGACCTTAGTGTCCATGGAAGAAAAGCATGGTTTTAAATACACCTGGTTCAAAGTGTTTAAAATTTTATTTTTCTATTTTAAAACTAAATTATTAAAGAAAAATTTAAACCTCTACAAAAGTAGACATCATAACTGTAATGAATCCCGTGAACCCATACCCAACATTAACAGTTTATCAAGTTATAGCATTATGTCATCTGTACTCCCACTTATTTCCACCCCTCCCATATTATATTTAGCAAATCCCAAACACATAAAATTTCATATGTAAGGATTTGAGTAAGTAGTATTTTAAACAAAGACATAACAAGTTAAAAGTATGTGTTTAATATATTGGTAGGCTTGGGATGTCCATGTAATTTATTAATGACCTAATAGACAAGTAGAAATAAAACATAAAAGTTGATAATTGTAAATTTAGTTAATGTCTTCTCCTTTTACAGAATAAGGCAATTGTTTAGTACGTATCTGATATTGGGATATAGGTCTTGGGGCTCCAAAAAAAAAAGTAAAATGTTTTCTGTTTATTAAGGAGCTTGAGGAGCTTGTATTTTTTCCCTCATCTAATAATTCTTAGGGAAGAATGTTGATACAGTTTTTTGAAAAGGCTGTTATTTATCTTGTATTTCTTTTTGAGTTTTTTTCTAATTACAAAAATAAAAATTATACAAGAGTATAAAGAAGTGGAATTATCTAAAGTCCTGCATTCAGAAATAACATTTCAGACTATATGCACATATATAGAGAGTGGGGAAAAAGTAAGTTTACCGTTGTTTATATGGAAGATATAATAATTAGTGAATAATAACATAGAAATAACTTTCACATACTCAGAACTGTAAATGTACTTTTGACCCACCCTGTTATTTCCCTGTCTTCTGTTTGTTAGCCCTTAGTGGGTGAAATGGAAACAAGTTTTTGTTTTTTCTTTTACAGATACTGTGGATGGTAGGGAAGAAAAGCCTGCTGCTTCTGAATCTTCTGGAAAACAGTCTACTCAGGTTATGGCAGCAAGTATGTCAGCTTTTGATCCTTTAAAAAACCAAGATGAAATCAATAAAAATGTCATGTCAGCGTTTGGCTTAACAGATGATCAGGTTTTAGGTAAGTTAGTTTCTTCCTCCCGTCCTTCATTTGGTCTCTCTTTCCTTTCCTCCCTTTCTTTCTCTAATAGAAAGAAAATTTGGGTATAGTGAAGTGCATAAATCTTAAGGTCCAATACATTTTACGTATGTATGCACCTATATGAAACACCATCTAGATCAAGATATAGATGATTTCTAGCACCCCTGAAAGCCTTCTTAGGCCCTCTCCCAATTAGTAGAATGCTCCTCTTTGTGGAGTAGCCACTATTTGGTTTAGGTAAATTTTACTGAAAGTAGAAATCAGAAATCTGATTTTAACAAAATCTGAACCATTTGATAATATTATTTCATATTTGTTTCAGGATTTAAATTGTATTTGATGTCTTAAGTCTCCTGATCTGAAGTTAGAGAAATTTAAATATAAATGTAGATTTCTGGTTAAATTGCTATAGTGTAGAGAGTGCTATAATGTGGATTTTTAAAAATATACATTTTATTGATTATGCTATTGTAGTTGTCCCAATTTGCCCCCCGTGCCCTCCTCCTCTTCCTGGTATCCCCATTTCCTCCAGTAACTCCCCATCCCTCTTAGATCATGTCCATGGGTCATGCATATAAGTTCTTTGGCTTCACAGTTTCTATACCATTCTTAACATCCCCATCTGGTTTGTATCTACCAATTATGCTTCTTAATTCCTGCACCTTTTCCTCCCGTTGTCCCCCTTCCCACTTTCAGCTGATAACCCTCTAAGTAATCTGTGAATCTGTTCCTGTTCTGGTTGTTTGCTTGGTTTGTTTTTTTTAGATTCAGTTGTTGATAGTTGTGAGTTTGTTGCCATTTTAATGTTTACAGTTTTGATTTTAAGTCCCTTGAACATTTCATATAATAAGGGCTTGGTGGTGATGAACTCCTTTAGCTTTTCCTTGTCTGGGAAGCACTTTATCTGCCCTTCCATTCTAAATGATGGCTTTGCAGGATAGAGTAATCTAGGTTATAGGTCCTTGCTTTTCACCATTCAAAATACTTTTTGCCAGTCCCTTCTAGCCTGCAAGTTTCTTTTGAGAACTCAGCTGACAGTCTTATGGGAGCTCCTTTGTAGGTAACTCTCTGCTTTTCTTTTGATGCTTTTAAGATTCGCTCTTTATCTTTAACCTTTGGCATTTTAATTATGATGTGTCTTAGCATGGTCCACTTTGGGTCCATCTTGTTTGGGATTCTTTGTGCTTCCTGGACTCGTATGTCTATTTCTTTTACCAAATAGGGAAGTTTTCTTGTTTTCTTTCATTATTTTTTCAAATAAGTTTTCAATTTCTTGTTCTTCCTCTTCTTTTTCCAGCATCCCTATGATTTGGATGTTGGTATGTTTGGAGATGTCCCAGAGGTCTCTTAATCTGTCCTTGTTTATTTGAATTCTTTTTTCTTCATGCTGTTCAGATTGATGTTTTTTTCTTCTTATATTCCAAATCATTCATTTGATTCTCAGTTTCATTTCCTCCACTGTTGATTCCCTGTAGAGCTTTCTTTATTTCACTTAATATAACCTTTATTTCCACCTGGGTCTTTTTTATGCTATTGCCATACTCAGTACTTTGAGTGTCCTGATAACCAGTGTTTGATATAGACCTCTCATAGGTTATCTCCATTTCATTTAATTCTTTTTCTGGCATTTTGTTCTGTTCTTTCAATTGGGCCGTATTTCTTGTTTCTTCAATTTGGCAGTCTCTCTGTGTTTGTTTCTGTGTATTAGGTAGAGCTGCTTTGGCTCACTGTCTTAGTAGTGTGGCCTGTTGTAGAAGAGTGGACCTGTAAATGGTGTGGGGCAGAGCCTTAGGTGATTGCCAGGGTGGGGCAACCTGTTTTCGCTGCTTTGTGGCTTTGTTGCAGGGGAGGGCTCAGAGAGGGACAGTGCTCCTGCCTGGCTTCTGAAGGTTTGCCTGGGAGGACGCTGTCTCGTGGCACTTGCCCTGTTTCCAGTCACTTCACTTTCTCCCCATATGCTACTCGTGCCCTTCCAGCTGTTATCTTGGTGCTGAATGCTAGAAGAGGTATCTCTGTAAGTCGTAAGTCAGTGCAGGCCCTTTGAGAGGAGTATCCTGATAATTCGGCAGTTTTTTCCACCACCCCAACCTCCACCAGTTTTTACAGCCAGAAGTTACGGGGATTTATCTTGGTGGTGCTGGAACCCTGTGCTGCTGGATGGTCTGGCTTGGGGCTGGAATCCCTCGCTCCCAAGGTATCCCTCTCGATTTAATCCACCACATGGGAATGTGGGACCTCCTGTTCCGTTGTCTCTCTGTGCCTCTCCACCTCTCTACATGTCTCTGCTCCTCCTACCTGTCTGGATGAATGTGGCTTCTTTAAATCCCTGGTTGTTGGACTTCTACATACAGCTCAATTTTCTGATAGTTCTGGGTGATATTTGTTTTGTAGTTGTAATTTTTTCTGTAGTTGTGCAAGGAGATGAAGTATGTTTACCTATACCTCCATCTTTACCAGAAGTCTCAGGATATGTGAATATTTTAATCTTAAAACAACACCTATACTGTGATTTATTTTTTGTCATCATTTCTTCAACTTTTTTTTTTTGATTTTTTTCTTTTTTGAGGTTCCAAATAAATTGGAGAGGTTAATATTGTCGGATGGGTCTCTGAGGTTGATTTTTTCCCCCTCTTTTTTTCTCTCTGTTCTTTAGATTGTATGATTTCTTTTGAACTCTCTTCAAATTCACCAATTTTCTTGGCCATTTCTAATCTGCTGTTGAACCTTTCCAGTGAATTTTTATTGTGCTTTTCGCTCTAGAATTTCCATTTGGTTCTTTTTACAGCTTCTTTTTTGTTGAGATTCCTTACATTTACATTCAATAAGACTCTTTCCTTTTAATTCATTGAGTGTATTTTTGTTTAACTGTTTAAAAATATTTATGATAGCTGTTCTAAATTGTTTGTCTGCTCTATCTAACATCTGGGGTAATTTGGAGTCAGTTTCTTTTGCCTGCCTTTTTTTCCTGAGTATGGGCACAAGTAAAAAAAAATTGCGTGCCTGATAGTGTTTATTGAAAACTGGACATCATGGTTGTTAATATGTTCTAGTGACTTGGGATTTTTTTAGATTCTTTTGAAGATTTTTTTTGTTACTGTTGCTCTAGCAGAGAGTTAACTTGTATGGACTGAAACTACTCATTCTGTCTTCCCATGGAGTATAGTAGCAGATATCTCTGCTCAGTTCTTTGAGCTCTAGGTGCTGCTTTTTTGTCTGAGCCCTCCTGGGTGTCTCTCTCTTCCCCCTCCAACCTCTGGTCAGTTTGGGATTTGGGAATGAGCTTAAACTCAGATTTTAGGTCTCACTCCTTTGGTGGGTCTCTTACTTCAGGGATTTGCCCTTCAAATTTCTAGATGTTTGGCCAGCCATGAAGTTAACACTGTGGTTTTTTCTGTTGTTGGAGCTGCAGTGGTCAGGACTTGTAATTCGTACCCACTGTAATTCCATTGGTGGTAAACTCTTTTCTGATTTCTGCTAAGATTTGGTTGACTTTCAGTGATTTTTAAATAGTTGCTTTCTTCTATTTTGTTTTAGGTTTTTAGTTGTTATGTATGAGAGTGTTTACCTGATCGTTACTTTACCTTTATCAGTAACTAGAAATACAGGATTCAGTCTATTAAATAATTTTCTCTTTCTTTGATACTTCTGTGGGATTAGTCATAAAGAGAATTGTGTGAAATTCTGAAGAGACACATATTTGTACATGATGTATGTACTTGGCACAGGAAGACATCAGAGAAGTGGCACAGCTGAAAAACACATTTTTAAAGCAACTGAAATGAGTTACTATTGCAGCTTTTCAATATTGAAGACTGAGAAAAACCAGATAGAGGAATAAATAGTTATATATGAGATTTGCCTTAAAAATTTTTATTAGAATATAGTATATGCCAGACTAGAATATTATGATTAATACAGTTCACATTATTTGAAGACCATTTTTCTCGTAGCTTTGTATGTTGAAGTAGAAAAAACTATACACATTGAAAATGCCAGGATACTTTGTACTTACTCAGGTGTGATGTGGTGAAAAACTTGGCTATAATGGTGACTGTGTACATGGGAAGGAGGGATAAAGTATTACAAAGATAGGATGAGCTACATTAACTAAAAGATTATGTGCCAGGAGAAAAGAGGAGACAAAATAAAAAATATTTTAAGGATAATAATAGTGTCTCTTGTAGGAGGGATGTGTATATAAATTTATCTACATGAATGTAAATGTCAGTGAAATGGTGGTACACAGGAGCAGCTGTTCTTCAGTTTCTCTTGTATTACTACTTATGCTATCCTAGTTTAGGCTCTCATCAACCCTGGACTGTCAGCTGCCAACGGTGTGCCTAATATAGTGCTAAGTTCTAGGGTATACCAGTGCAAGGGCTAGATGTTTACCCTCAAGGAAATTAGTCTCCTAGTATTTATGTGGAGGTTTGTAAGTGGTAATCACTTTCATAAGCTCTTGCTAAGTAATCACTTTTATAAGCCTTAGTTAACTTATTCTTACAGGAAACCTTATGGAGTAGGAATTAGTTGGGTTTTTGGGGGGGTTTTTTTCTTTTTTTTTTTTTGTACAGATGAGAAAACTGAGGCACAGTAAGAGATTAAGTAAAATGCCCAGAGTTACACAGCTACTAAGAAACAGTACTGGGATTTGATCCCAGACAGCCTGGCTCCAAAACCTGTGCTTTTAACCACTCTTCTATATTGTCCAAACAAAAAGAACTTAAAGGAGTAAGCATATCGAGAGTTTGTCTTCCTGATGTCTTTTTTAACTGTCACAGTATTAGTGAATCATTTCCATTTCCTGCTTTGGTTATGATTTTGGAAGAATTTGAGTGGCTCCATGGATGAGAGCTAAGCCTTGTGAGGCAGATGAAAAGAATAACAAAGGAATCTGACCAGAGAGCTTGTATTCTAAGAGGGAAGATGGGACTTGCTCAGAAATGCGAGGTAGAAGTTGGGAAGGGTCATAATAAAACTGTACTCTGTAGAAGTGCACAAGTGGAAGACGGTATTTATGGGTGAGGAAGGCTTACTAGAACTGGAATTATAGCTGAGTTTTAAAGAGTGTTGTATTTAGATATATGAAAATGGGACAGTGGAGGGAAGAGTGATAAATGCAATGGAGGCAGAAAAAGTATTAGATATATTTTGGGAGTAGGGATTAGGTTAATTGAAAGGGGCATGTGAGAAGAGGAGTTGTGAAAATAGTGTGTATCCCTGAATACCAAACCAGAGGGTTGAACTTTATTTATGGACAGTGCAGACCCATTAAAGAATGAAATGATACTTATGGTTGATCGACAAAATAGATTGCATAAGGTAGAAGATACTGATATTGCAGAGATGCGTTTTGGTTTTTGAAGGAGGCAGTTACTGTTCTACAATTTATAGGGAAGGATTTCCAGTTGTAACTTCGGATTCTTAAGAGACTAGAGCAAAAGAGAAAAGAAAATATACATTCAATGTAAACGGCTGTATTTGTTTTCATGCCTATTCTACCATACTTTTAGTCTCTTTTAATCAAACTTAGGAATTGAGCTTGCTGGGGAATGGTCTTGTGGTAGAAACTGAACTGACTTTATGGACCCTCCAGGGCCACCCAGTGCTCCTGCAGAAGACCGTTCAGGAACGCCTGACAGCATTGCTTCCTCCTCTTCTGCAGCTCATCCGCCAGGAGTTCAGCCACAACAGCTCCCATATACAGGAGCTCAGACGCAAGCAGGTCAGAGTGAAGGTAAAATAGAACTTAGAGCACATGTGCAGAAAAGTACATGTACAGAAATGTTTATTGCAGCATTGTTGGTAATGGTAAACACATATGCATTCATGCTATGAACAGAGTTGGGAGAGATTTTTATTTACTGATATGGTAAGTTTTGGGGTTAAAAAACTAGGTAGAGCAATGTGTCAGGTATGGTTCTGTATTGAAAAGAAAAAAATCTAAAGTGCTTATATACATAAAAATACAAGGTCAAAGATCAGGAAGGGTTCATACCAGTCACTAGGTCAGTGGTGACTGTGGGGTCAGATGTGACCCATTGAGCTGATACTGTAGGTGCTATTTTCTTTCCTCTCCCTCCCTGTTTTGCAACTGTGTATTATTTTTCCAATTTAAAAATATTTTGAAAATAGAGGTAAAGCATAACTTTAGTTAAAGTGTAGTTTTTTTGAAAGATAAATAACCTTAAAATATTTGTGCAGTTAACAATGTCTTTTTGAAAAAACTTTATTGATTTTTTTTTTAAAGAGAGAGTGAAGGGGGGGAGAGAGAGAGAGTAGGGCAGGGGGAGAGAAGGAGACAGAGAAAAAAACATTGACGTGAGAGAGAAACATTGATCAGTTGCCTCCTGTATGCGCCCAGACCAGGGATTGAATCCACAACCTAGGTGTGAGTCCTGACCAGTAATTGAACCCACAGTCCTCTGGTGTATGGGACAGCGCTCCAACCAACTGAGCCTCCCAGCCAGAGCAACAGTGTCTGTTGAGGGAAAAAGCAGTGTATTTTAAAATCAAACTGCTTTTCTTTAAATGATGTATCCTTTGTATCCTGGTGTGAGCAGTTTAATCTCAATGGATTTTGGTATTTTCTCACTGTAAATTTTGAAAAGTGGACTAAATCAGTGGTTTTAAAAGAATTTTTAGCCCTAAATGAAATAAAATTGGTAAGCTCAGTATTATTGTACAATATTAGGATAAGGGGTCGCTGCCATATGTCAGCAATTTTCAACCTTTTTCATCTCAGTGCACACATAAACTAATAACTAAAATTCTGTAGCATACCACAAAATACACTTTTTCCTGATATGACAGAAAATGGGTATGATTTTGATAGATTTTAAAAAAGGTGACTGTTTTAAAAATTAGATGCCTATACTTGTATATAAGGATTTCTGGTACCAAAAATTAACCAATCAGATGTAATCTTACTATGCGACATGCCCAATCTTATTATGCAACTCTATTATATGACCTGTATATTTGTGGTTCAAGACAGGGCATTCACACTGGCCAGCTATTGTTGTGTTGGTTGTTGTCATTTTTTTAGTTGACAGTCTTAAGGGAAAAGAGGTCAGTGCCTCTGATTGAATAGTCACGTATTGGATGTTTTAAAATTTCTTGTGGCACACCCATTGAAAATTGCTGTCATATGTGAAGGGAATTGAGGTTGCTATAAGCTCAGAACAGCAGGCACTGAGGTACCTCTTTGAAACCCTTGGAGCTCTGTAGAACATGGCTAAGTATAGTAGTTTCCCGTTTTCCACGGTTTTGCTTTCCACAGTTTGAGTTACCCGCGGTCAGCTGTGGTCTGAAAATATTAAATGGAAAATTCCAGAAATAAGTCGTAATTTTTAGATTGCTTACTGTTCTGAATAATTGATGAAATCTCAAATTGTCCTCTCTAGGAAGAGTCATCCTTTTGTCCATTATACCCACACTGTATATGTTCTTTGCATGTTAGTCACTTAGTAGCCATCTTGGTTACACTTACTGTTGTGGTATCACAGTGCTTGTGTTCAGATAACCCTTACTTTACTTTATAATAGCCCCAAAGTCATTCCTTTAACTTTTATTATGTTGTTATAGTTGTTCTATTTTATCATTACTTATTATTGTTAATGTGCCTAATTTATAAATTAAACTGTGTCATAGGTATATATAGTAAAGAAACATAAGATATATAATTGTATATATGTAAGATATGTAATAAATATATACACACACACATATATACACACAAATAATGGTTGGGTACTGTCTGTGGTTTCAGGTATCCCCAGGGCGTCTTGGAACACAGTTCCTGTAAACAAGTGGGTGGGAACTACTGTAGTTACTAATACCTAGGGTTCCTTCCAGATACTATGTTGGTTCTGTTAATTGCCAATACATGAAAGTGCCTTTAAAACTACACATTCTACTTTAAAACAAACACTAGGTGGTGCTCTAACTATTTGTATAAAGGAACCATGTGGTGGTACCATGTATTTTCAGCAACAGAAACAAGTGATTGAGTTAAAAAAAAAATTCCTAGCCTAAAATGAACTGAGCACTTTTGTAATAGACTCCTAATTATACTGTGGTGATACTTTTAGAGTTTCCCACTGGATAGATGCTAGTCATAGGGACTAGGTAGCATTTTGCTGATAAATGAGTGGTCTGGGAAGAATTTCTTATTGCTTAAGCCTCTTCTCAACCAGCTTTACTCACAGTGTTTCCTTTGTACCAAGATGCAACTGCCAAAACTGTAACAAACCAGAATTGAAACAGGTGGGTTGAAACAGGGAAGCAAAAGCAGATTTTGGATGTGAAGGGAGTTTAATGTTAATGGCTGTATCAGGTAAACTAACATCTGTTTTGTTGTTGTTGTTTTTGCTTTTTTAAATTCCATTGTAAGTAGTATGTACTATTGTAGAATGGCAGTTGGAAAAATAAGTGTACCAAGTAATGTTTCCTCTTCACTTATACAGGAATGGGATTTAAGGTTATACTAACAGTATCTCAAATTATTCTGTCAGGTTTGTTTCACTGAAAATTTATTTTCAGATAGGTAAGATTTTAAAAATATAAAAGGATATATAGTGAAAATTCAGAAATCCTCTCTTTCACCACTGACCTCTTAGCAATCAATTTCCTCTTCCAAAGGCATCAGAGTAAAACTGTTTGATAGGCATTGAATTCTTTTAGGGTGGCATATATGCCTTGCTAAAGCTGTTTCTTTTTAAAATTTATATTAAAAATATACTATAAAAAATTGTAATTAATATGTGACTTTGGTCAGTACATGAGCATTCAGGAGATGAATCTATAGATTAGTACTATCCAAAAGAACTACAATAGAAGTCACGTAAACTTTAAAATTTTCTATAAGCTGCATTAAAAAAAATTTTTACAAAGGTAAAGTTAATATTAATCATACATTGTATTAAATCCAGTATATCCAGTATATTAATATGGAATCATTATTTAAAAGTTAACATTTTATATTCTTTTTTATTCATGTGGCCTATTGGAAATCTGGGGTGTGATTTGAAACACTTAAAAACGCAAACAGCACATCACAGTTAAGAGTAGCCATATTTCAGGTTCATAGCAGTCATATGTGGCCAGTGCCTATTGTGTTGGATAGCTTGCTCAACTCAAGATTAATACATTATTTATAGATTCCCAAGATGAATTATAGGCTACTTGAATGAGTACTTTTTGATGTATGATGTGTAATGAATGAGTCCCTGACATCACCAGTTCGTTAAATTAACTGCTGGTTATAATTTGTGTAGAATAACCAACATAAAAACCTATTATTAATAATTGATAAACATAGCAATCTCTTATAATAGAATATGAAATAATAATTCTGAGTTGTTACTTAAATTCCATCAAAGGGACGTTGGAATTATAATTTCTTTCCCAAGGATTTTAGTCTTACTATGTCATTCAGTTAAAAAGACAAAATGTTGAACATCATGAAAAGAAACAAAATGGACAGTATTTTCTTTTTCATATAAATCAGGTGTCTCTGGTACTGGAAAACTATGTACAGTTGAGTAATTGTCCAAAAACATGTATATGTAAGTGGTGAGGATACAGAGATGAGCACTAAAAATCATCAGAGACCAGGATGTATTGCTATTTGGCAGTCCAAAAAAGTGGGAAGGATATAATTAAAATTCTCTAAAATAGCGTTGATAAAATGAGTAGGCTTCTAAATAGCTTTGTTTTGTAAATTTTGAAATATACACAAAAGTAGAGACAGAGTACATCTGTTCCATGCCCCTCCCACATTTAAAACATTTGCTGGAGTATTTAAATTAAATCCTACACACGTTATTTGACTGAAATATTTCAGTATGCATGTCACAATGATAATATGAGATAAATGATTCATTGTGAGGGGGACTCTACTTGGGAATGAATACTTACATTTTTTTTGTAACATAACCACCATGTTAATATTACAGCTAAGAAAGTTAAATGATTCTTAATGTCAACACATACTATAGTTGACCCTTGAACAACATGGGTTTGACCTGCATGAGTCCACTATATTATATGTGGATTTTTTTCAATCTGCAGTTGGCCCTTTGTATCCCTTGATTTCATATGTACAGATTCAACCAACTGCATATTCAAAACAATATTTTATATCTGCAGTTAGGAATCCTTGGATGCCAAGGACAGACTGTATGCATTGTTCTATACCATTTTATATAAGCGACTTGAACGTCTGCAGACTTTGTTATCTTTAAGGTGTTCTAGAACTAATCCCCCAGAGATACCAAGGGACCACTGAAGTTTTTGGGAATCAAAAGTTATATGTTGATTTTTGACTTTTACATTGAGGGAACAGCACCACTAACCCTTGTGTTGTTCAAGGGTCAACTGTAGTCTCTGTTTGAATTTTCATAATTTTCTCATAATTACTTTATTATAATTGATAGCTTGTTCAAATCAGGAGTATACCAAGGTTTAGATTTTTCATTTGATTATATGTGTTAAGTCTTTTTTTTAGTAGCTGTCACCCTGACTTGTTTTCAAAGTCAAAACTATGTATATTAATTGTATATTGCTATGTAATAATTTACCCCAAAACATAGATGTTAAAAACATTTATCATGTCACAGTTTCAGAGTCAGGGATCTGGGAGTAGCTTAGCTGAGTGGTCTCTAGTGAGATTGTAGTCACCTGAAGCTGAACCCAAGCTGGAAGATTCACTTCCAAGATGACTCCTCCTAATGGTTGTTGGCAGGGGGCTTCCGGTCCTCACTACATGGACCTACCTCTGTCATAAACTGCTTAGGTAACCTCATGACATGGCAGCTTCCACCAGAGTGAATGATCAAGAGAGTAAGGTAGAAGATGGCTGTCTTGATTTGATTTCAGCCTTTTTGATGATACCTAATTTAATATTTATATTAAACGTGACAGGATGTACAAAAATGTCATAAAAATGTCATCATTTTTGCAATATTCCACTGGTGCACAGGTCAGCCCTATTGAATGGGAGAGGAGACTGTACATACAAGGGAATGAATAATTAAGTGTTTTTTTTATTATTCTTTGCTCATTTCTGCATTGTGGAGTTACTAATTTTTCTAATAAGAATGTAAGGGATATCTGCTAACATAATTTACTGCATTTTAGATCTAAAAAGGTTCCAAGGAAGTGGCTCAGCAGCAGAGGCAAATATATTTGAAAAAATTAATTAAAATAAAATTAAAAACAAAACAAAACAAAAACAAAACAAAAAAAACAAAAAAAAAGAATTAAAGAAACAAAGTGGTCCACTAAGTTAAAAAAAAAAAAAAAAGAATATAAGGGATATCAACCCATTGCCATGTGCCGTTAACATGTGCTGAAGTTATTTGGGGTCATCATGGAGGTTGGCTACCGCTGTATGTTAATAGAGTACAGCTTCAGAAGTCTCATCATACTTTTTGCTTTATGCTATTTTCTTTCTTCCCTTAGGTAACATAGTTTTTATCACTTTTATTTTATTTTACCATTGATTCTTTCTGAAAATATAATACACAAAACATAGCGCATATATATATATATATATATATATATATATATATAAAAAACATAGCATATATATTTTTTTTTTTTTTTTTTTACTCAAAACATAGCTTACGCTAAACTATGTCTGCACCTTGCTTTTTCACTTAATAAATCCTGGAGTTTTCTCAGAAATATGTGAAATCGATTTATTCCTCCTTTTTACAACTAAACACAGACTTTTTAGTTACATTTCAGAATACTGTGACAGAGAATCCCATTCTGGACTTGAACAACATGTGTTTAAAATAAATAAAAGGAATACTTTGCAGAGACAGGAATAAACCTTGAAACTTTTATTAACCATAGAGTTGGCATTTTCATAATGGGTTTACAGATTAGGAAGAAAATTGTGTTTGCTTTAAGAATGATTGTATCCTTTCAGTTAAGAAGTTTTTTTAAAAAAAATTTTCTTTATTTTTAGAGAAAGGGGAAGGGAGGGAAAAAGAGAGGGAGAGAAAGAAACACTGATGCGAGAGAGAGCTATCCTTTGGTGGCCTCTCGTACACGCCCTTGACCAGGGAAGGAGCCTGTAACCCAGGCATGGGCCCTGACTGGAACTGTAACTGGCAACCTTTTGCTTTACAGATGATGCTCAACCAACCGAGCCACACCAGTCAGGGCCCTTTCAGTTTTAATTACAGAAAACAGTTAACGCTAGTTTGAGTGGGAGTTCCTTAGAATCATTGATTCTAAGAATCTATGAAACATAGAGCCTTGATTTCAGCCTTTTTGATGATACCTAATTTAATATTTATATTAAACGTGACAGGATGTACAAAACATTTTTTAAACTAAAGCTCTGTGCTTGGGTTCCAATGATAGTTCTTAATTAGCTGTGATGTATTGACCTGGAATAAATTGTTTAATCTTTGTGTATTTGAAATAATCGATTGCTAATGAGGTTAATTTTCTCTCATGTATTTATTGCCTGTTCTTTGCTCATTTCTGTTTGTAGAGTTAATTGTTCTAATTTCTAAGAATTAGAACCCATTGTCATATGCTATGTATATTTCTCCCCCTTGATTATATTTCTGTACCAGATTCTGGTCACTTCTGTTCTAAAATTTAGTTATGAAATACAATCCAGGATTAAGGTGGTATCTTCTAAGGTGGTTAACTTGCGTACTACCTTTTGTGCTGTCTCTAAGGCTTAAACTAGTAAGAAAGCATTTAAGAAACTTTTGTCAGTTTTTTGTTGTATTTGGGAAGAGGATTAGTAGCTTAAAAATAGTTAAGCAAATTTTATTTCTGTCATAAAAAGCATACAACAGCATGTTAGGAAATAAGCTGGCTATAAATACAGACATGTCTCATTGAGTGCTGTAGTACGTGGGGTTGAGCAACCAGTCCAGGAGAGGGGCTCTGCACCTTGAAATCAGTATGTGAGTGTTGGCCGCCTGCTGCGCTTCAGTGGGAGTGGCACTGGAGAATGCATTGACTTTTTTTTCAGTAGTAGTCTCTTTTCTGTCAGAAGTATGCTCTTTACCTATAGTCTTTTGATTAACAGCAGATAGTTTGAATATTTTTGAAAGAATTAGTCAATGTATACTTATTTTAAAGATTTAAATACTAGTTAGATATTAAAATGCAAGTTTTATTGCAACGCTAGGCATTAGATCTAGCTAAATCCACCATTAGAACAACTGTAAAGTAGTAAAGATGATAAAGACATGAACCAAGAAATCCTTAGTTGTTTGGAAATCACAGGTAATAGTGTCTGAAGGATTGCTCCATAGGAACTTCTCCATAGGAACCAAAAGAGTATTCTCTTTTCCAAGTACCCATCCCTAGTGTTAAACAGGTCTACCGTTATTAGAAAGTTCAGTGAGGAACCATTTAGGTTTTATCAGATTCCCCACAATTGCTAGGATCTTGAGATGACGGAAAAGCAAACTGTTGTCCAATGCCAAAGGTGTATTTGAGATCTGGAATGAAAGACACTGTAATTTTTTGCTACCAGAGAGCCCATTCATATGGTGACAAAAAAAAAAAAAAAAAAGGTTTAAACCCTTAGATGACACACACGTGTTTTGGGAAAGATTTGGGAGCAATTCTTTTTATTGGATTTTTGACTCATTTGATTTTTACTGAATATTAGCAGTGTCTGTCTTTTGGCAGTTGGGTTTGAAACCCTTGTGAAATAGTTAATTCTTCTCTACTTCATTCATATTAAAAGGGGAAATAAACATTCTCATGTCTTTGTTACTCAGTGTGTTTCTGCGTTTGGCTGGGCAGAGAATTAAATGTGCCTTAATAGTATTTCGTTAAACCTGCCTCTTTTTCTTACCTTTTTTAGGGTCGATGTACCAACAGTACCCTCAACAGGCCGGTTATGGCGCTCAGCAGCCGCAGGCACCACCTCAGCCACCACAGCAGTATGGTATTCAGTACTCAGGTGAGCAGGGGTCCATGGGGAGCTGGCTCATGGTGTTTGAGCTGTTGCTATACTCATTAAACTTTAATCCTGTCCCCTTAGTTCCTTGATTTGTAATACTTACATTGTCATAGCAGGTAGTAAGTATTTATTGACTGGGGAAATGACATTGGTCTTACTTATTTTTAAAATATTTTATAGTAAATCAACATTTTAGTTTTCCACTGGGCAGGTAAAACTAAGAATCATAGTAGATGATTCTGTAATAACTCATAGTATAAAAAAGTTTTTAATAATACAAAGCCATCTCCTACTGAGGTGATCAGCTTGCTTCTTAGGGGACTTAGAATTGCAAAACTGCAAGATTTTTTTCCTTTGTTATATGTAAATCAATCCCAGGACACTCTTAGCACTTGTAAAAATATAGTTCCCTTATACATGGAAAGATGATCTTAATACAGGGGTGGACAAAAGTAGGTAGTTGTTTATATGGAAAAAGACATACAGGTTATTCTGATTATTGCAGTAGCTTTATTAACTGTTTCGCGTACTCACAACTGTAAACCTACTTTTTACCCACCTCTGCAAATAACCAAATGAATCTACATAGGTTTTTAAATCTCCCAAAAGCATGTAGGAATACCAAAAACAGGCCAAGATTCGTATTTTTTTTTAAAAATAGAGTTGTGTAAAACCTAATTCAGACAATTAAGAACATTAAATATAGTTGTTTAATATAGGCATCTTAGATATTTTGTTTTATCATTTGATCATTGAAGGTTATCCATACTTAAATATGAATAAATCTCATACTTTAGTATAGCTTTGAACATAGTGATTATAATCAGGTAATTTTTACATTTGCTAGAGAGAGTATTTTAGCTCTTGTTTCACAGTGAAAGATTTAAGTATCAAATTTCAACTATAATTAGTTTATCTGAATGTTGCCTAAATTCTATTTTATGGAGTTTTCTAGTATTATAAACTAGAGCAGGAGTCAGCAAACTGTAACCCACAGGTCAAATCTGGCTTGTTGCCTATTATTGTGAATAAAGTTTTATTGGAACACATCTGTACCCATTCATTTTTCTACTGTCTATTGGTGCTTTGGCACTACAGTGGCCCACAAATGTACAATGTACAATGGAATGTAAATGTACAATGGAGTTGAGTAGTTGCAACAGAGACCTTATGGCCCACAAAATCGAGAATATTTACCATCTAGCCCTTCACAGAAAAAAAAGCTTGCCTGTCCCTGAACTAGACCATAAAAATCTATCATTGATTATAGTTTGACGTATTTTAATGCACACAGCAGTTTTTATTTGTACTGTATTTGCTGTAGTGTGATGTAACCTGTAGGTGCTAAGTTTTACGTACATAAAAAGGTGGAATGAATTTAAACTTGTATTATGAAATTAGAGGGAAGGTTATTTTTAGGATGCAGTCCTTAAAATTAAAAATCAGAGTGTTGCACATTATGTAATTTGTAGAAATAATAGATATCAGACCTGAAGCGACCTAGTAATCATCTAATTCAAGTGATTTCAGACTTCACTGTGCTGAAGCACCTGGAGAGCTTTTTTTTTTTTTTTTTTTTTTTTTGAAACTTACAGGTGCCTGGGCCCTACTCCCAGAGATTTTATTTCCTTTAGTCTTGGTGTAGGACTCAGACTTTGGTATTTTAAAAGTATTGCAAATCATTCTAAAGAGCAGCCAGGGTTGGGAACCACTGGTTTTGTTCCAACCACTTATTTTATAAATGAGGCAAATAGGGTTGAAAGATGTTATGATGTATTGAAGGACACATAGCCTTTCAGTGGGGTTGCTAGGTCACCCAGTACACTTTTCAGTTAATTACTTCCCTATATCATTATGCATTCTCAAACGTAGACCAGGGGTTGGCAGACTTTCCTGCTATAAAAGGCTGTATAGTAAATATTGTAGCTATTGTGGACCACATGACTCCTTGTCCCATAATATTTATTTAAAAAATCCACAGAATTTCCATATCTTGCGATTTCTGGGGTTCTTCACCGAAGTTACTCATTTTTTAAGGAAGGAGGTATTGGTTTGAAGAAGGCTAGTCATATGTAATTTAGAAGTGTTGTCACACTGTGGTCACAGACTCCTGTAGGTTGCTAATAAAATGGCATCTAAGGCCCTTAGGAGTTAGTCCCTCTCTTAAGAAATAATTAAGGATCTGGTAGTTTCCAGACTCAGTTAAAAAGCCTGTTTAGATTTCAGTTGCCAGCATAAAAGGCAGTCCCTGTGCTTTTTTTTCCTTCTCTCTCAAGTTGAATAGACATTTTGAGTATAAAAGCTGAGTCCTTCTGTTTTTCCAAAATCTTATATTAAAAATTAAGTTAAAAAATTTATGTAGAAGTGAGGAGAAATTATGTGACATTCAAGATTTGATCATGAATTGACTTTAGTTCAGTATTTAGATAATATCATAAGTAAAATGCATTAAGACATTTGATTTAGTTATTAAAAATTAAGCTTGCTATTAATGACTTGAGTCAGGGTCTCCACTCTGAGGAAAAGTGTATTTGAAATTGTCTTTGTATTTCTGATCCTACTAGCCCTATTAACTTGAATTTGATTGGGAGATATGGGAATAGTCAACTCAATACTCTGCTTGGAGACTCTTAAGTGGTGGTGGTAACATTGGACCATTTTTGACACTGTTGGTTTGCCAGTTTCCCTCTGACCTTTTCCAGTTTTATTCATGGACTATGTCAAAAAGATTTCTTTCATGAGTAAATTTTGAACCCAGGTTCAAGGTGAGTTCAGAATATACTCAAATTCGTTCAATCCTTTTTTTTTTTTTTTTAAATGCAGGGTTGTATATATTTTAATAATTTTCTTATGTATCTGGTATTTAATGCTGACAGGATTCCAGTCAATGGAGAGGTTTCATTGCAAGTAGCTGCAGGTGTGTTTCATGGTAGAGATAAAAAAGTTTTTAGTGAAGCAGACTTTTTCTTTTAAAAAATTTACATCCTTAGTAAATAATGAATATAGGTGTTGATTTTGTGGGGCAGTATGGTATGCTTTTTGTGTATTATGTTGTTACTGCTGACTCATAATTTTGAGTTTTAAAGGCAAAACATCAGATACCAAATCTTTAAAAAAGTGAAATATTTTAAGAGTTGTGAAGATGGGTGCTTAATGTTTATTCTTAAATGGCCTAGTTTTTATAGAGTGACTAAAGCATCTCAATAGCACAGTTAGATGTATTTGTAGCACCATTTTTCATTTAAAAATATTAATTCTCTACAACGTGTTTTTATTTGGTACTGTTGTTAAATAGGTCGTCCCTCGAAACCAGGTTAATGACTAGTTTTTGCATTATTTCTGGCCTTTATCTTTTGAGCATCTCCTCTGTACTAGAAATTATGCCAGAACAGGAATTTGCTCTCAGGGGTTATATAGCCTAGAGGCGGTTGTAATGAAGAAATCCATGTATAGTGGTTTCAATTTAAGATGAGCAGGTTAAAAAAATTTTTAGAAACTTCGCGATACCACTTGGTCTGGAACTATTATATGATAGAATTTACTATTCTACTTGTTATATAAATACTTAGGATTAAGTTTGTTAAATTTCTCATTGTTTTTGATCCATAACAGTAAAGACTAATTATTCTCTGGAAAATTTTTACCAACAGAAAAATAAGATATATACATTGTTTATTTTGCCTTTTCAGCAGGCTATAGTCAGCAGACTGGACCCCAACAACCTCAGCAGTTCCAGGGATATGGCCAGCAACCAACTTCCCAGGCCCCAGCTTCTTCCTTCTCTGGTCAGCCTCAGCAACTGCCTGCTCAACCGCCACAGCAGTACCAGGCGAGCAGTTACCCTCCACATACTTATGCTACCCAAACTTCTCAGCCTACTAATTACACTGTAGTCCCCGCTTCACAACCTGGAATGGCTCCAAGCCAACCCGGCTCCTATCAGCCAAGACCAGGTTTTACTCAGCCTCCTGGAAGTACCATGACCCCTCCTCCAAGCGGGCCTAACCCTTATGCACGTAATCGTCCTCCCTTTAGTCAGAGCTATACCCAACCTGGACCTGGTTATCGATAAAGAGGCTCAGCTACGCTGATGAACGTAGCTGCTTGCTCTTTGCCTCCCAAAAGACTCCAATGCTACTATTTTATTTTAGTTTGTATTGAAGTTAAGAAATTTAAAAAGAGCATTTTTTATGATATCATTGTTGCCGTTAATTGAAAGTATAATTTGCTAGAACACAAACAAAGACCAAAATGAAAGTTTTTTCCTCCCCTGCTTAAAAGTGTAGCAGCTTTCTAGTAATTTTGGAACACTACTCTTATGTGTATGTAAAGTGATTGATTTTCTAGCTTGCCTTGTCCAGAGGTTATTAAAATGCTAGGTTGAAGTTGGCTTTTTACTATTAACATGATGTACTAAAAGTAGATCTCTTTGAGGAGACAACTAGATATTATGTATAAAATGAAACAGTGATAGGTTAATAAAGATGATTGAATCCATTTAGTGGTCTTGTAATTTAACTTAGTCACTAACATTATATATACATGAGAAAAAAAAAGCAAGAAAAAAAATCCTTAATTGATGTTTTTTCAAAATGAAGTACAGATGGTTCAGAGAAACACAGTGCTGTTTGATTTTGGTCTTGACTTGAAAGAAATGCATTTAACAGTCATTGGCTTAAAACAATGAACTTTAAAATAGATGTCATGGGAAGATAGATGTCATGGGAAGACACAAGAGATGCAGTTTTAGAAGTTACAAGGGGGTTTTGGTAGATCCTGAATAACTGTGATTTTTCCTTGTAGAGATGAACCATTCAGAAATAAAGAACTCAACCTTAAAAAAACAAACTACATTTCTTTATTGCAGAGTTTCTACTTGTTTGAAACGTACAAAATGTAGCACTGGTAAAATTGAAGCATGTTGACAAGGGTAGGCACAGGGCTCTCTCAGAATGAGGGCAGCAATGCAGCATTCCCACCTCCCTCCTCAAATGAAGAAAATACCTTTTTGAATAAAGGTGAGTGATTGTCAGTACAGGTTGAGTTAGACTATGAAAATATCCTCTGATACATTCATTCCTAGAAGTCTTATGTGTCAAAATGTAGTAAGTATCCTGTAAAATGGCAGCAAGCTCATAATGTGTTCTCTTTCTATGTTCAGACTTCACATTCAGTTTTTGCATACAGCTTATTTAAAATTATGTTTTAAAAAATATGAAGACAGTTGCTTGAAGACTTAGTTTGACAGAGTATATTCAAACACTAACAATTATGAGTACAGTAAGAAAAAATGTATTTTTGAAACTATCATTCTCAATTCTATTTTTAGCTGAAATGACATTTACTAATTCAAGTACAACAGTTTTAACAATTTGCAAATATTTAAGGAATTTTATATTCACATCAATGTTTATTTAAATGCTTCAGAAAAGTTTTTCAGCTGTTGCTAAAAAATTGAAGATTAAATAAACGTGAATATTGGGTCCTTCCCCCCCACCCCGATAGTATATATCATATACTGAAGATAATTTGATCTAATAAGTTAAACCAAGTAGAGATTTATGGAATTAACTCACCAATAGGAAGAATACACAGTAATAAAAGTAAATTTTTTAAAAAAGTATATTAGTTTTTGATGTTAATTTTGCTATAAAAGTATTTCAAAACATTACAACAGTGTGATAAATAATATACAAATGATCTCTTAAAATACCATGAATAGGGAGCCAGCTTCCCCAAAAAATGTTACTCTGTTAATATCTTGCTTTCTAAAAATGACTTTTTAAAACCTGATAAATATTCTCAGCAATCTTTCTAATAAACATCTAATATTGCTATCAGATTTTAAACTTTTACACATAGTAAACAGAACAGCTTTAAATGAATGTGACAAATACCATAGTGTTTGCAATTATTTTTTTTGCCATGATGAAACAGAAGGCACTTGTGATCATGATTGCAGTATCTACCATTTTCCAGGAATTGTGGTCCCACATTCATACCACTGAACGTAATTGATTTGGGTGTGACCGCCGATTTCTCCAAATTGGACAGGTTCCTGACGAACTGCTCTGAAATAGCCTAAGGGGGAAAATTAATTATCATAGCTGCTATGTTATATTTTTGTCCTCATTGCTCATAGATTGATTGGCTGAAGGTTACATAACTAGGTGAGGCGAGGTGTTTTAAGAAATGTGTAGCAACAGAGGCGCTGGTGTCTTAACAGGTGGCTAAACATCAGGGGCATCTGAAACTCACCAAGTTAGGATGGGACAGTTGGTAGTGTTTCGAAACAAAGCTGGAAAGGGGCAGGAGTCAGGGGGCTTTTGTGTCCTGAGTGTCATTACCGCATTCAGTATTCTCTGTCTTACGTGCAAGTATCCTTTCTGCAGACTCACGGTAGTGTGTGAAGAACGGACCAGAGTGAAGGTGTTAGATATTTACTACAATGTTAAGAAACAAAAGAAGGTAGTTCTAAGCTTGCTAAATTTCTAAGAATTAAACTTAGGTCAGCTCTTCAAGGAGCCTATACTAGTAATGATTAAAATTTTCTCTGTAAATGTAAAATATTATAGAAATACACATGATTTTGAGAATGTTTTACAGCCAGTTCCTATGAGACAGCAACTTTCAACCTCCTGGTTATGTGTTCATAGATCTTACTAAGGCATCTTTTACTGTGGTGGGTATTTTTAAGTGCCATTGAACAAAAGGTGTTGCTGAAAAGACTAGTCAAATAATTTAAAGTATTTAATGAACCTCTTGATGATTCCCGAGTAATGTGGACACTTAATTTACCCTCTCCTGCCCTGCCTGGACAAGAATTAAATAAATTTTCATCTTTTTAATCTTCATTAAGCAGCTAGTGTTAATATGTTTTCAGCATGACAGTGGTTATTCATTTCTTAACAGAACTGTTCTAATTTTAATTGAATTTATATAATTAAGGCAAATAATACTGTTTTTCCATTTTTGGTAGTTTATAAGTTTTCTTTAAAATTTTAAGGGAATAAAAAAATGCCATATGAATGATTTAAGTTTAGAAAACACTTCTTTAAATTCAGGTTTCCTTGAAGTAGAATGCGTTTATATATGTCTGTGTGTAACTTTCATTGGCCCTAAGGAATAGAGTCTTAGGGACTGGGAGGAAAGTTTAGAAACCTTTATTAAAGTGTTCATACCAAGGGCTTAAGAAAGTTTTTTCTTTCTAGCCAGATAATTATGACAGTAGTACTATAGGATTATTTTTAAAGGGATTGCTTTTCTCAGCCTGAAATTATTTTGGATTAATTTGTAAAACCCTCTTGCTTACAAGGAAGCTCAGAAAACATACCTTCTTTCATGGGTAGCTGGTCAGAAGACAGTTGTTGTCCTGTGCGTCCATCTAAAAACGAGTCCACAAATTGGCAGTGATCTTCTCCATGGCCTCTCTGATCACCTATGTTATAAAATTTTCCTAAAAACCAAAAGTTAAAAGAATCATAAAATGTGACTTTCTTATATATAGGGCAATTCTGAAATAACCAGATAATTTCAAATAATCAGTCTTTCCTTTTTTTGAGCACTTGCCCCACTTTCACCCCACTTCAAGCCAGTTGGCTTGAACTGTGAAATAGTCTCCCAGCTGACATCCCTCTTTTCCATTTTGTCTCTCTATCCTTTCCCTCTCCTCCCGTCTCCTGCATCTTTTAAAATTGCTACGCAGGCCCTGACTGGTATGGCTTAGTGGGTTGGGCATCATCCTGAAAACCAAAAGGTCATCGGTTTGCTTGCCAGCCAGGGCACATGCCTGGGTTGTAGGCTGGGTCCCTGGTTGGGGGTGTGTGAGAAGGCAATGGATCGACGTTTCTCTCCCCCTTTTTCTCCCTCTTTTCCCCTCCTTTTAAAAATAAATTCTTTAAAAAAGTGCTACTCAGATAATGTTACCCCCTCCATAAATCTTTCCAGCAATCTCCTATTGTACTCAATAAAACCTAAAGTCTTAACCTGGTTTCAAAGCTCCACGTGATTTCACACATGCCTGCCTTGTTTTTCCTCTTACTCTCAGCCACACTAGCGCAACTGGCTAGGCATGTTCTGCCGCAGGCCTTTGTCTTTGCCTTTCTCTTCTACCTCTAGCTTTATTTCTAGATCTTTGCCTGGTTGGTGCCTTCTCATAGTTTTCTTCTTAGCGCACGTGGTAGGTACCTTTTCAAAGAGGCTTTTCCTAACCATTCTAACTAAAGGAGCTTCCATTCAGCTGTTTTCTCCCGCTCTTAAGTTTTGTTTTTCAAAGCACTATGTGAAATTCTTATTTACATATTTGTCTGTGTCTTCCAACTAGATTGTAAGCTATATGAAGGCTTGTTTGTGGCTTGTTTGCTGCTTTGTCCCCAGAACCTAGAGCAGTATCTGAATAAAGCAGATACTATCTGTTGAATGGTTGAATAGATGTCTACCTTTCTATGTTGGGGCCAGCCTTATTTGTTTTAACATTTTTATTATGAGTATGGAAGAGAACATGATAACCCACTGAGTCTGGAGCAAGGGGTTGTAGCCCTTCCAGCCAGGTGTTATAACCTTGACCTTGTCTCCAGCAGACTTAAAATTTTAATTGTCCTATTTCTTCCTTAATTACTGTTAGATAAAGCCATTTTATTATCAGTAGGGGTTTTATCCTTGGTTGGCTGTAACAGAATTGGGCTTGAATGTGGCTAGTGTCTTTACATTCAAGTTTGCCATGATGGCACTGCTTTGACTTGCATTTTCATTATTTCCCTTCTAACAGCATGTCTCAAATCCTTGTTTTCTAGGTTAAGTATTTCAATAACATCTTGCCCAAAAAGAAAATCTGTATTTACATCACACCTTACTTTCTGTCCAAAGAAAAGGCCAAGTTATAGAATGCTGAAAGCATTCCATTCCCTGAAGGACACACTCAGAACAGCTGGTAATCTTGCTTACCTGTGAGGGAATCGCTCAGATAAATCTTGTATCTGAGAGAGTTGCACAGCTGTACCCCAACAAACTTTTTATACCACGTCCTTTTGACATACTGTTTGCCCTTACATTCTGAGTAAGAGTCTGAATTAAAGGGTCTCTCTGTCCAGATGGCATCTCTTCCTCCTGAATAAGAAAAATATATGACTTGAATTTAGTATCTACCTTTGAGTATTAAAGAGCTGTTCTAAGAGCTTAAAAAAAAGGCAGTTTGTAGGGTTCACTGTCACCTTCTGATACCAATGCTAAATATTGGAGCCAAAGATACAGAAGTTTAAATACATAAGTGCCCAACTAAGTTCCTATCAATAGTCATATAACTATTAAAGGAGTATATTTAGGTATTGAATAACTTTTGCTGTGCTAGATGTAGACAGCTTCCTGAGGAAATTTAGGTTTTGTTTTGGAGTATATACAATTTGAACAGCTACTTTAATGTGACTTGTTATTAAAAGTGGAAATGAGGGTGTTAAATCTTGACAGTTATTAAATAGAAAATTTGGTGCATGAAAGAAAGCAAGTTTCAAAATATCCATTGTTCCCAAAACATAGGCTCTCAATGAAACAATGTTTTGGATAAGCACTCCAAAATAGATGTCTACCTTTCTATGTTGGGGCCAGCCTTATTCAATCAGCATTCACACCTGATTGATAGTCTATAAAGATTAATTGGACTCAAGTGAAATCATGACTAAAATTCTGCCATATCTGTGCAGTTCAGTCAGTTTAGCAAAGCATGTAGTTGTGATCACATTGAAACAGGTACTCACCAGAAACTGGCTCGTTCACTCTTGGATCCGCTGAGAAGAAATAGCAAACAGAGTCAGATGTTATTAGGTAAGTAGGTCTCAATGTTTCAGTGGCACAGTGAAGAAGATGGGTGCTTACATTTGTTAAGAAATTTTACTTGCAAAATGGTATACCTTTTCTAAAAGGGAATTTGAAAGTGTGTGTGTTGTTTTGGAAATTGTTCTCAATAGGAAAATCTGCCAGATACTCAGCTGTATCTTTTATTTGTGATTTCAGTAGTTAGACATCTTGACAGCTGTTCTAGCTTTCACTTCCATTTTAAAAGCTTCCTCTTTTAGTTTCATTCAAAATACTATGAATGATAAAATCACCAAGATGCCATGAATCTTGCAGTTGGTATAAAAATTACACAAATGATGCTGTGAGCACAGATGTATCTTGTTAGGTAGAGGATTGGAACTTAGAAGGTCAAGAAAGAACTGTGGAGGTGCTTATCAAAAAAAAAATATATATATATATCTCAAGTGAATTCCTTTCCCAGATGTAGCATGGCTCAGCATGTCTTATATTTTGATGCTGGCATACAGAGGAGCATTCACTCACTAGATTTTTTTAGTATGGATTGATTAAATACTTTTCTTTTAAACTGATACACTTGACTCTTTTTTTCTGACATCAAAATGAATGAGGGAAAACCTAAGTGGTCTTTCCTTATGGTTACCTTAATCAATTGTCTTTTCCCCATAGGTAGTATAATGAGTTCAAGGAACTATACACGGTGTTTGGCTGGGTTTCAGACACGCTCCTTAGTGCAAAACATTGTGGCCCTTTACATCCTTGTTGGGAATTTTGATGTGATTACCTGATTCAGTACTGAATGCCACTGTGTTGCTGGCTGGGCCTTCTCCAAGTGGGTTTTTAGGTTTCACCTGGAATTCATAGCTGTGGAGATAGGAAATTAAAATAAAATTTTAATGTATTCTTCAGGGGTAGGAAACAACAGTCCCTTGTTAAACTAACATCCTTCCTGAGTCTGTGTTGAAATCATGACAGGGAAAGCACATATATTCTAGAAGCACAAGGAAAGAAAGAAAACTATTGATTCTTATTTGCTAAACAGCTTTTCTAATGTTTTGTACAAGAACAGGGTTAAGTTAATAAAAAAGACAGTTGTCTTTAAAAACAAATTCCAAAATAATAGAAATAACTGAGCAAGTTGGAAATAGATAATATAGGAAAGAGGTATGGTGGACCCAGGCTAATTCCAGTAACGAGGATCCTCCATTTTCTTCAGATGCTTCAGCTACTTCTGGGGGAAAGAAGTAGAAAGATTACTTTTACTTTTCGTTTCTTTTTATCAGAGCCTTAGACTTAGGCAATGTTTCTCTTTCTGAGGTTTGTGCTACCTACATCAGAGTTGCTTATCGGAGCCACAGTGGGGAAAGTTTGTTTTAAATGCAGATTTCTTGATCCATCTTACCTCCTGAATGAATTATTTGAGGGGGGTCCAGGTAGGAATTTATAACAAGTTCCTGAGGTGAATCGTGCCTCCACTGACATTTGGAACCTACTAGAATAAGCTATGGGAACAGATGCACATGAAAATATTTCATTGCAAGGACTTCCTCCTGGTTGTATCTCCTGGAACTCGGGGCTTCTGTGGATCACAGGAAGCCTTAGCAAATCTGGAGTAGCGGGATGCTAGGGTCGCCTCCTGTAGAGCATGGGCACAGCGAGACTCTTCTCTATAAACCAGATTCATTTGGACCAGGCTCTTAGTATTAAAAAACAAAACAAAATAAACCCAGATCTCTTGGAGTTATAAGTATGTTTGCTTCTATCCTTAAGAATTATGAATTAAACTGTGCAGTATTTGACGAATTTCCTTCATAGAGTACCTAAGCAGAGCAAGTCCTTTTAAGGTAACAATAAAGTTATTTTCTATTTGCCTAAAACTATGAGTTCCTGTTAGTAGCACAGTTAGCAGGAAAGTATTTTGGATGTAAAGTCAGTGAGTCAACTAATAGTATGTGAGCTGCAAATTTGTACAAGGCTTTTGGGAGATAATCACCATTATTGAGAAGTTTGTAATTGAAGAATGTAGAACACACAAAAGGGAAAGGTACTTTGTAAGTTAGTGAAAAGTAGAAGGATGACAGATCTCAGTCTGGTACAGAGGATACCAAGTGAGCAACAGCAGAACCCAGGTTCCGAGAATCCAGTTTCTCTGAATTCAGTATTTTTGAATACTGAAGCATTGTATTAACACACAGCTGGAATCTAGAACACGGATTCTAGCGTTACAATGCTGGCAGCCATTTTAGGGGTGCTTACTATGTATCAGACACATTAAGTGTTTTACATATATAAAGTAATACACAAACCCCAAGAGACCAGTTTTTTTCTATTTTTACAGTTAAGAACGATGACGTTCTTAACCATTGTACTGTCTGCTTTTACAAACTTCATGAAATGAAGATTAAGCCTTACAGGATTTTTAGTGAGAGACTGCATGTCAAAGCATTTTGTAATAATCACCTGATACAAGGTGCTATTATCATTTACAATAAGAGAATGCCGAGACAAAACTACTCATGTCATTCATTTAAAGAAATTGCACATACATGGGGTGTTTTGGCATGGAATATTTTCTAGAGATGTAATTTTTGCCTGATGACCTTAAAACAAAAACAAACCAGTATGATGAACTGATAATGGAAAAAAGAAATCACAGGCATCTGGACTTTGATTCAAGTGGGCAATTCATTCCACATTCCAGGCCATTGCCAAAAGCCCAATGCTTTGGCCAAATTTGATTGCTGGAATCCTCTCCATGCCTTCATTTTGCAGTTATTTACACTTCAGCTCTATTTGTAGTGTAGCCACAAGTATTCCTAAGGAACTTTGTTTTTTCCTAACATGTTGTGATACTTGACAAGTTTTGAAGAAATCATGTTAAACTAAATTTAATTAACAGCATGGGAACTAAAAGGCACATATTTTTGGCTGATTGAATCCTATATAAAGAGAAAAAAATTGAAGTGGCAAAGTTTTTCCCAGACAGCACTTTCTATCACGAGATTTTGACACTATGAGTCAGTATTGATTATACATAGGAAATAAGCACGGGATGCTGTTTTAAAATTATAAAGGACAAATAAGCATAGAATAAATAAAACTTTGAAGGTTTAGAAGATCAAGTTAAGAAACTGACAAATGCCAGAACAAAAAGTCAAAGATGAGAATGAAAATGGGTTATTTCAGGGAATATAATACCTAAGTAGTAGTTTCTAGAAGAGATAGGAAGGGAAAAAGGAGGGTAGAAAATTATCTTAGAAATTATATAAATCCTCAGAATTGAATAGGTTTCCAGTTTGAAAGACCTAATATATGCCCAGAGAAATAAAAAGGGGGAAAAAAAATTTATCCAAAACACACCCATTGCAAAATTTCAGAATATAGGTAATAAAGACCTTAAAAGTTTTGAGAAGATCATGGGTCCCATTTAAAGAACCCAGGATCAGAATAACATTTGACTTCTTACCAGCACTGAAGTTAGAAAACAATGGAAGTGTCTCCAAAAGTCTTTATTTTATCCTGAACTCCATGTTAAAGACTCTAAAAATACTATCTTTCACAAGTTTTTCTCAAGACATACTTCTCAAGGAACACCACAAATTGAGGGAGTAAATAAAGAAGGAAAACGGGATATATGAGTTAGGTTATTCAACGTTGGGGAGAGGCAAAAGATGGTAAGAGGTTACAGGAGGTGTTGCCATAAAAAAGCATAGATGACTTGAGTACTTGACCATTCTGAGAAAAGGTCAATCTAGAAATATGGATTTAACTGACAAAAGAAATAGCTGAAATAATTGAAAATTGCAGAGCTAAGATGGTATAGGCTCCTGAGCTCCCCTTCTACAGACGCATAGCAATTCGTAATCCAGAAACTAGCTGAGCAGCTCCTTCTACATGTGGGCAAATGAGAGAATACCCACATTGAAGTGGCTAGGAAAGGCTGAGACACATTCTCTACATAAACCCCCAGCACAGTGCCATACAATCAGGAGCAAACCCCCAACTACCAGCTTTTCCTTGAGGAGCAAAGGGTTTGGACCCCAAATCTATAGTTCTGGATTTTGCCAACATTTGCGATACTTTCCCAACTTTTTTTTTAAAAAAAGATTGTATTTATTTTTAGAGAAGGGAGGGAGAGAAAAAGAGATGGAAACATCTCAAGCAGGACCCCCTACTGGGGACCTGGCCCACAACCCAGGCATGTGCCCTGATTGGAAATTGAACCAGCAACCCTTTGATTCACAGGCTGACTCTCAATCCACTGAGCCACACCAGTCAGGGCTACTTTCCCAACTTTTAAGACTCCCTGAACACCTAGCTTTGCTAATGGGGATTGTGTCCATGAGACCTTCAAGAATATAGCAAAACAAACAAAGTTATTCACAAGTGTATGAGCACTCAACCCCCTCCCTGCCTCACCCAGCTTGGAACAGAGGGAGCAGGCAAAGGATCCCACATACTTTAAAAGCTACTACCTGAGGATGAGGGTTTCTAACTTTAACACATCTAGTGACTGGCTGCGATCATTCCCAGAGACTGGGAAACAGCAGACACCTTTCCTACTCTCTCTTCAGTCTACTCCAACAACAAAACCAATCACTGGTGTCTTCCTGGAAGGAGTTTTTACAAATGGCTGGCACCCCATCTTTTGTGGCTGCCTTGTAAGGGACAGCACCACAGATAACCTGGCTCTGAGAGGCAACGGTGCTTGCATTTCTGAGTCCCACAGGACTGTACCAAATGTAGTTTTTAACAGGTGCAGAGGTACCCTTTCCCCACAGCTATATACTGGGCCCAGTAGGGAGGAAGCAGGCAAAAAATGCCTCTCTCCCAGTGTCTGCCTGGAAGGGGCTTAACTACATAATTGTCCAGCTGCTAACTGAGGGTTGAGTTTATAATCAGCTTGCATCTAGATTTTGACTGCCATTCTTACCTTGGGACTCTGGTAGGTTTTGGCACACTCTCAAATACTGGAAGCCATTAAGAATAAGGAGGGTGGTTTGGGTAATCACTGAGACTTGAGAGACAACTGGAAATTTGGGTTGGGTTGATTGAAGTGGTTCATTTCATGATGAGAATACTCTATCAAGCATAGGAAAGGTGGCTGCTTTATCTTGTTTAGAAACTGAAAAAAGGAGAGTCAAAGCAAATGATGAAATAGGAATATGGTCCAAACAAAGACCAAGAAAAATCTCCAGAAACAGATCTTAATGGAGTGAATATAAGTGATTTATTTGGTAGAGTGTTCAAAAAAACAATCACAAAGATGTTCCCCAAGGCCTGGAGAACAATTCATGAACAAAGTGAGAATTTCAACAAAGAGAAAATACTGAAAAGTGCAAAACAAAACACATAGCTGAAAAACAATAATCTAACCCCGCCCCCCCCCCCCGCCCCCAAAATCATTAGAGGAGTTTAACAGCAGACTAAATCAAGTGGAAGAAAGGATCAGTAAACCTTACAGAACACTGGAATTTATCCACTCAAAGAAGCGAAAAAAAAAAAAAAAATAGTTTAAGGGACATAGGGGACACCATAAAGCATACCATGCATGATATGCATTAAAAGGGTTCCAGAAGACAGAGAGAGAAAGGGGCAAAAAGCTCATTCAAAGAAATAATGGAAAGTTCCCTAACCTAGGAAAGAAAACAGGCATCCAGATTCAGGAAGTACATGTTTGCAAATAGAGAAAATGCAAAGAGGTTCACATTGGGACATTATAACTTAAATGTTAAAAGCTAGACAAGGAGTAAATCTTAAAAGCAGCAAGAGAAAAACAACTTGTATGTACAACGGAACTCTCATAAGACTATTAGCAGATCTTTCAGTAGAAGATTTTGGGCTAGAAGGGAGTGGCATGATAT